GGGGCTGGATGTGCGCTTCAGAGGCTGGGTGAGGGTAAGGATGGGGAGGCTGCCACTGCTGTGGTAGCCTGCAGCTTGCAGAGCAGTGATAACCAGTAACCAGACCTCTGTCTTACCTCGTCTTTCTCCATGTCCTCTTTACCTCCCTATACAGCTATATGATTCAGTGCCACACTCCACTTGGTTCCAGTGAGCGATGCAACGATGCACTGTAAGCTCTGTGCTAGTTGGCTGACAGCTATTGAAAGCTCCAACAAAGTTTTGGACTCCTCAGATTAACTTGGAGAGGGATCTCCCGAAACATCTTTAGGAATAAAAACAGAAAAAGAGACACAATAAGTTTGAAGCTGACTATGGGAGCGTTAAACTGATCCGTGGGAACACATAGTTTGACCTCTGCTACCAACATCCTGTTACCGTACTGGACTGTTACTGTGGTTTACCAATAATGCAACTCTAGAAAAACTGATTTTATTATCAAAAATATAATGAGATTTAGACTTTGTTTTCTGTTATTGTTTAGCCTAACAAGAATTGATCTGACAACATGGCATGGGCTCACAACAATAAAAGATTTTAATTGTATTTAAATTTTTACGAATAAAAAGGTTTTACGAATCATAAATAGTTTTTTCAAGAATCCACAGTCAGTAAAGCAGTAATTAAGTACAGGTTGGAACCAGACTACATCAGATTTTCTAGCCTGTTTAATTCTTAGGTTACTTTTCATATCGGATACGGATCTTCCTCTTTTTCTTTTGTTGTACAGTTTCCTTGGTTGTTGTGAAAAGTGCTTTAAGTAAAATGTATAAATATGATTCTAAGTATCAATCACCCCCTTTGGATTGAAATCTATTACACTTTAAAGGATAAAAAGCAAGTACTTCTAAATCTAAGAAGCTGCATCAATTACACTCCATAATGCAACAAGTAGTAAACAAATTATGTTCAATGCAAACACACCATTTATTTATAAGGTGTCTCATCTCAAAGTTATAATGAATTAGAATAATAATACCATCCCTTTTTTGATTTGCAGACATCTTAACAAAGAGTCTGTTGTTATCATCAGTGTGGCAATTTTTCAACTGCTGTTTTATTTTTATGATGACGATAAAAGATCCAATAACTGCCTATCCATATTCCCACAGTGCTTTCATTTTGTATATCTCATATTTTGTCAGTGTTTCTTTTTTTTTTTGTAGCAGGTGCCTGAAATGCTGCCACACAAACTGCTTTAGTGCTGTAGTCTTCTCCAGTAGTTAGCAGCTGTAATTCTTGTTTTTTCCCACCAAAATAAGAGTCTCAAACATAGATAAAAAGCTTAAAGAATACAGTGTTGGTAGTAATAACTTAAGGGAGCGATCTGGAGCTTTTTATTGATCACAGTCTGCCAGTTGGTACCTTTGCCAAACATTGGACTAATGGTAATAAAGGGCGCTGAGACAAAACAAAATACAAGACTTAAGCTCTGACTAGTTTTTTCGACACCTCTGATTTAAACTAGTTGGAAAAGGGTTGCTGGGTATTGTGCCTTGAAGCTCTGGCAGAGAAGCAGAAGCTGCTAGTGTCCATCCTTCCATCCATTTCCCGCCACGCTTGTCTCTGTTGGGGTTGCAAAGGGTGCTGGTACCTATCTCCAGCTGTCTAGTGGCGAGAGGCGGGGTCCACCCTGGACAGGTCGCCAGTCTGTCACAGGGCAACACAGAGACAAACAGGGCAAACAACCATTCACACACACTCACACCTAAGGAGAATTTAGAGAAGCCAATTCACCTAACAGTCATGTTTTTGGACTGTGGGAGGAAGCCAGAGTACCTGGAGAAAACCCACCTTGTTTAATACAAAATAATAGCAACATTTCTTTAGACTAGGGCTGCAGCTATTGATTATTTTGCTGATGGATTAATCTGTTTATTCTTTTTTCGATTAATAATCGGATATCAAAAGGTTCCTTAGAGGAGATTTTTTAAGAAAACCAGGTGAAACTCAAACTTTTCCACTTAAGGAGTTCTGGATATAGCATATTAGCAGACAATAAAATGCAAGATGTTTATATGTTTATTTATAATTTTGATATAATTGCTGCTCCAAGTGGATCGCTTAGTCAGCTAAAGGCATATTTTAGAGTATCTATATCCAGTTACCCATTAATTGATTACGGTACTAAAGTAATTGAGGATTTTTTTCAATAATTGATTAATCCAATTAATTGGTCCACCTCTATTTTAGACATATGTTGAAAACTTCTAGTGTGTGTTGGTTTTCATGATCGTTAGCATTCAGAGCTGTTTGAGTATGGAGGTGGACTTTATCACATCTCAAAAGGCTTCATTCACCTGCAACCCTAAATGAGGGAAAGGAAACCCAAACATAGATGGGTAGATTAAACTGTTAATTGAGGAAGTTATGTCCCCTTGAAGGCAGTTGCACCTCGGGACTTCCCTTCCGGTTCTTTTCCTGGGAGCAAGTTGTTTACTACTATTTACTCACACTGGGTAAAACCATGTAAAAAGAACTATAAAAATAGGAGTGAAAAAGTAATAGAGTTTATTCCAGGTCAGGTCGTTACAGGACAGAGAATATTGCTTGGAGCTGCACAGCTGTGGGCTCAAAAATCACGTCCGCGAGCGTCCGGCAAAGATTGAGCCCCGAAAAGGGTCAACTTCTCCTTCTTATAGCTCATGAGTCTATGTGTTGCACCAGGTGGATGCTTAGCTGTCCGTATCAGAAACTGATACGCCATCCATGCCCAAGGATTACAGATACATCTCCTCTATCAGTCCGGCTCCAAGATCTGCCCATATCCTATGTATCTTTAAAAGACAAGAAAGCTGTCCTATTTAGATGACCCACTTACACAAAGTGACATCCACAATGTGAAGGAAGGCATTCTACTCTCTCTATCTGGCTAACAAAGTAACAATGCACATAATGTATAAAAGAATAAACCTAACAAAACATTTAAAACTACTCTGTATGTTTGAAGATGTTCACACTGAACAAACGATCCCCAGAGAAGGAACTTTTGGATTCTGTTGCATCTGCAACCCTCTGTCTGACGCAGTGTACAAAGTTGAATAAAATCTGTTTTGTATGATCCATAGAAACTCTTCCCATCTAACCTTACCAGAATAGTTTTTAAAGCATTAGCCCAGCCAATATCTTACAGCTATTTTCTGCTTTTAACACTGGACTCACTGTAGGGGGAGGCTGAGTGTGGTGTGAGAACGAGGGTGTACCATAATGTAGAGTCTTTGAGTGAAATACTACATGACGGTTAAAAGTCCACTGAAGTCAGGTTGTTTTCCCAACAGCTTTGGTTGGCCATCGTATATGTTTACTCCTAGAGCCTACCTCAGTGTTTGTCCACGTATGAGTGTGTGTCTAAATGTGTCTGGGTTGCGTGCGCGGCGGGGGCACAGCCACGTATGTTTGGAGCGAGTGCTGTCAGTTAGCTGGAATGCTGCACTGTCGCCAATGCTAAGATGGCTGCCAAGCTCTAAGATGGCTGCCAGGATTACACCCAGCCTGCGAGAGACACTCAGAGAGGAGTGAGAGTTTGAGCTAGAAAAGCCCTCTTTCATTTGCTTTCTTTCCTTCCTTCATTCTTCCTCTCATCTGTCTCAGTCTAGCCCTCTTTCTCTCTGAGGATAAGCAGAGTGTCGTAGGCAGAGAGACAGGTCTGTTATTGTTTCTGCTCCGTAATCTGTGGCTTAGTGTGGCTGCAAGGCAAGTGCTGCTGGCAAGAATCTCTGCACTCTGTTATCACCTACAGCCTGCAGATAAACACCTCCTTTAGCTTGCATGCTAGCTAGCTAGAGCCCAGAAAGGCCTGCATGGACAGCCATTAGGTATAGGTCCCAACACCTCACTACTAACTGTGATCACATGTGCAACACTTGTGCTACATGCATATATACATTATACATCAACTATTTTCTCCAACATCCCTCATATCATTGAGTTTTAGTCTTATTGCTCCCATGTGTCTCCAAAACGCTCTTACATTGCAAAGCTTTTCCATAAGTATGCGTATCTGCGTTCAGACAAGGATTACAACATGTATTAAAGTATGGAGTGGAAAATGAAGCAGAAACAGATTGAGAGAGAGGCCATGGGTTTGTGTGCACATGTTCACATATGTGTGTGTAAGGGGCTCTGTTTATGTAGCCCAAATCCCTACAAGCAAGAAGGTATTAAATGGGATTAGGGTGAGTGATACGATTACGTGGTTAGATACTAAACGCCGTGGCAGCACACTGTAAGTCATTGCACCTTGATTGTGCAGAGACAGGACCAGCAGGAGGGAACATTCCATGATTCAAGAAAGTCACACACACACCTAAACGTTGTGCGAATTCACAGATATAAATAAACATGATATATAACATGCTTTTCTAGCACATACTGCAGCTTTTTCTATTTTCTCTCATGCCTCATATATCACATACCTGGTGAGGTACTGAATGTTTGCTGGCATGTAAACCACATCGATTTTGATTAATACAGTTCTAAATCGATTAATTTCGATTCGAATGTTTTTACAATAACGAAAGTGGTTCAACTGTGTTTCAAAATACAGACAGTTTAAACTTGAGATGTGAACAAAACTGTCTCATAAGTGCAACCTTGTTTGTGAAAAGTGAAAAAGTGAAGCCTCACTCCAGCAAGCGGACCTGACACAGCAGGGATACAGCAGACATGCATGAGCTGCATTATCTCCACTGCACCATATTTGCAACATCTACAGTACAGGGTGTTTGCTGGTCAGCCCCCATTTGTTAATGTCTTCAGTCAACCTATTGGCTATATTTGCAGCTGTCTGGCTTTAAGTAATCTTGAGTGCATCTTTCCTGCTCATTTAAATGTGAACGTTACGCGTGTCACTATAAATCTAATCGATCTCATTTCCTAGACATCGATTTTGCAAAAATGTAAAGGAATTTTTTTAACCAGCCCTAACGATGACCCTTTGTCTTTCCTCTGTTTCCTTGTAGAATCTGGACAATCAGACAGCTCCAGCCAACAGGGAGACACAGACATCAAACCACCACCTAATGGTAGGTATCCAAGCACTAAGAGAGTGGCAATGATTCAAACTCATCAGATTGCCTAAATGTGTCCAGTGGTGGATTCTGTAAACAAACAAGCCTTCGCAGTTGTAAATCAACTGGGTGGCATAGAATAGCCTCTTTAATGCATGATCATGACTTTCAATGTATATTTCACATTAAAAGTCTTTTTTTTTTTTTTTGTCCAGGACACCTGAGTTTCCAGGACTGCTTCGTCACCTCAGGAGTGTGGAATGTGGCTGAGCTTGTCAGAGTGTCACAGAGTGAGTTGCCTTGATTGAAAGACACTGTATCAATCTCCTCTGATTGTAATAAATCTAAATCAAGATGATGTTTTTTAATAAGAGTTTAGTAAAAAGAAGCACTGTTCTTTTTAATACTGTTTTGTTTTGGTAAAATGTTTAATAGCTTCATGATATTCATATTTGTACATATCCACCTCCTTCCTCCCTTTTCTGCTCTCCTTCAATCCTTTCCCTTCCCAGCTCCCGTAGCCACGGCGTCAGGGCCCAACTTCTCTCTGGCGGAGCTGGACAGCAGCCCCAGTTACTATAACATCAACCAGGTTGCTCTGACACGGCGCTCCCTCACCTCCCCTCCCTCCACCAGGTACGCTCACATCACACTCAACCCCTGCAGAGAACTGGGTGTTAAGTGCTGCCCTGTCTATAGAAACATGGAGCTTTATCTTTATCACAGTGTATTAAAATTTTGGGAATTCAAACATCCTCCATCGTGTTTTTCTATTTTAGAGTCCTTTTAATAAGAAGGGAGGGGAAGCTATCTTTTGCTCTGAGAAGGAGATAATAAAATCATGCAGCTCCTCCCCTACCTGTTGCTCCACACTGCTACTCAGCTGGCTGAAAGAACAACACATCCCTTTACATTTAATCTGTTTTTATTCTATGTGTTAGATAAGCATGCCTATAAAAAATTTCAGGTTTTTGTATTATTTTCGCATACATTTTTGCTCTTATGCCTGGTTTGGTTAACGCTACAAGCTTTTAAAAACCGTGGGTTATTGCAATAATCTAAGAGGCTTAAAACATCATAGATATAACAGATTTAATGCAGTGTGGGGTGAGAAAATAAACATGGCCGGTGAGGAAGAAGCGATGGCGATACTTTTTGGAATAATTTACAGAAAAAAAGGTGACAAAATAGGAAAGCCGAAATAGGTGAGTTTTTTTTTTTTCCCCTCAGGAAACGCTTCCTGATTGGCTAAAAGTCACATGGCGATGTGATCGGGCGATGTGATCAGCTACTTTCAGGAAAAACACCTTGTATGCAATGATTTTGGGTTTGGACAATCCAGCATGTTGAATTTACCGGATTTGAGGTCGAGCGGTTGCTTCAGGAGTAGATCAGATTGCTCTTAACACACCCCACCCAGCAGGAGTATCTATAAAATATTTTCTTTAGAGCCATCAGGATAACTGGGGCGACTCGGAAGGGAGGGATCGTCCGAAATTAACCAATTATATTGCCGTGTGAACCAGATATTAAACAAAAAAAAGAAGATAAAACAAAACAGTATGTCAAATTTATATATTTTTTTTAATGCTTCTTGTATAGACTCTGTGTAAAACATGCTGGCCCATACCCTTACTAGAAGAATAACTGCTGTTGTGAGTAAACTGGAGGGAGAATAAAATAAAATAAAAAAAACTATCTGCAGTGTTGCTTTTCATCATAACAAAAAGAGAACTTTTTACCAGAAGATTCCCCCTGGAAAAGGAGGAAGAATCGTTACAATCACTTTCCTGATAGCATCTTTTACTGACATTAATAAAATATGCTTCAATCACAGCTTCTCTGTTTTCCCTTCTACCTCCTCCACACAGCAGTTATCACAGTGTGATCCTTCTGGCAGAAAAGAATCCAAACTTAAATTTCTGTGGTAGAACTATCACATCATTTTTTAACTACTCCCTAAACTTCTTTTTGAAACTCACTCAAATGCGTCTTGAAGCCCTGCCAGCTACATAAATCCATCTGAGTCTATGCCTTTCAGGCAGTAACTTTTCACTGTGGAGCTTTTGTAATAAGGAAGACGGTTATTTACAATTAAGACAGCATTTTGTTGTTTTTTTTTTGCTCACACAGCTTGTAATGAATCCAAAGCACTCATGGCTGTTTCCAGTCTCTGAATTTCTCTGTGTTTGTTTGTGTTTCTGTTATCTGCTTTCCTCTTTATGAATTTTATTGTTCTCCTGCTTCATTCCTCTTTTGTATCTTTCTGTCTTCTTACCTCTGTCATCTGCTATCACTTTAGGTCTGAGGTGGAGTTGTACGCAAATCTTCCACGGAGGTAGTTATAAAAACCTAAAAGATCCAACATTTTCTGAAGCATAAAAAAGGCACACTGGTTCTTCTCTTTTTTCTGTCTTTTTCAGACATATTTACTGCTCTTTTTTGTTCTTTTTTGTCTGATCAGATGTTAGAGTTATGGTTATGCAAACAACTTGAAATGTGTTGTTTTGTTTTTTTTGTGTGCTCCCATTTTCTTCAGCTCCACCAAGAGGAAGTCCTTAGATGACAGTGAGCTAGAGAGCCCCACAGATGATGTTTTTTATCCTGGACGTTCACCTGCTGCCAGCTCCTCCCAGTCCAGTGCGTGGCCCAATGACATGGATGCAGGTATCCACTCCATCCCACCCAACTCCTGTCACCCACTAGCACTCTCTTGTCTGACCTCCGCCCAACCACCAAAGCCCAAAATGATCCGCCTGCTTCACTCTGATGATTCACATTGTCACCCTCAAAACCATCCCACCCACTCAAACAAATCACCTCTCTTTAGTTTCACTCCAGGATACTAACATTTTGTCACAATTGGTGATCATTAGTATCTACTGGCCAACTCTTTGAATAGAATCCTTCCTCATGTTACATGGAGATTTTAAATAAAAAACTCTTAGTTTGGAATTAGATTGGATTGGGTTAAAATTTCACTTTAACATTAAACGACTCCAGAAAACGATTGACGATGCAGATTTCTTAAAGTTTCCCACACAGCTGCTCTGGGCTTTCGATCATGCTGTTATTTTAAAGCTTTCTGATTTAGCAAATCACCATTTCTTTAAGCTGTACACACATTTTTCTTATTCCCACTCCTGTAACTACGGCTCACCCATTGGAGAGAGAGTAACAACCCTCCTTACACCCTCCTATACCCGCCTTCCCCTTGCAGCCATAATTCACCCTGGTGATCTGAATGTTGTGCATAACATCAAACATTCGCTGCCATGGCCATATACAGATTCTCCTTCCTTCCTCTCCTTTCTTCTGTCTCTCTCACTCTTCCCCTGTCTCATTGTTAACAATACCCTTCTTCACTTTCAGTGCAGCACCATTTGGCGAGTGTGCAGGAGAGGAAGATAAAACATGAAAACGATGGCGTGCAGTTTCCTTACCATGGTTAGAACAACATTGATTACACTCATATCTATTTGCTATCTATCAAACTTTATGAAGCACAATTATTCCTGTGTAAATGTATGTGTGTGCACGTGTTTCTATATATTTACAATACATGCAGTATTACAGTTTATGTACACAGAGGATTGTTTGTTTTTGTTTTTTTAGATAAGCATATTTTATGATTATGTTAAAAGTGGAAAAAATAGCAAATTGCAAGATTTAAAGTAATATTTTTATTGATGATAACTTTTTAAACAGATACACGTACAATGCCTTTATATAAGTACGAATTCACCTTCAACATTTACTCATTTTTGTCACATTACAAAAGCAGCATTCAGTGTTTTTGTGTTTTAATGTTATGTGAGAGAAAAAAAGGCAAGAATGCAAAAAATGAAGTAAACATTTTCTATTGGTGTACCTGCCCTTTATTTAATGTTTATTCAATGGAATGAGTATTTTGACCTCTAAAATAAGATTATTACATACAGTATACTGCACCTGGGATAAGTTAAAGGAGATATTTGCTATTATTTTAATTTCAATAAGTGTTGTTCATTTGGCAGATCACTTTACTTGCCTACTTAAAACAAGCACAAATTTAACCTATTCCAAGGAAATGTAAGTTATCTTTAGCTGACTTTTTCCATTGAAATAAACCCTAAGATGTCTGTTTGCTGTTTGACACAAAGGCATAAAAGCAACACAGCATTCATGTGAAAGATGGTGGTCAGATGAAAACAGCATAATGGAAACCAGTAGAAGTGCAATTACTCTGCTCATTACCATAAACATAGTTAAAGATGGTGGCACTATGGGAGGCAGGGCAGAGTTGGATCTAATAACTGTATTTAATGAAGAATCTATGGCGGGGCTTCTAAAAATATTCACAGATGCTCAAAAAAGATGTTTGAACCACTCCTGTTACAGTTATTCCCTACTTTGTGCTCATCACATATTTGTAATGTGACAATGAATGAAACAAGTTCAGGCTCCCTGATTCTGATCCATACCCAAACCACAAGATTTATTGGTGTGATTCATGAGCCTACAAGCGGTGGTTTTCTTGCGAAACCATTCGAGGTCATCTAGCTTACAATGACATGACACACAGTCACACACTATGTTTACCTGCTGTACTTGTTTTGGCTCTCACAAGTACACACATGCAGAGAGGCTTACTCATATCCATGCAGACCACAGAATCTCACACACACACATGGTATCTTCCAACCCGCCACCATGTTCACACATTGCAACACACTTGCTTATCATGCTCCCTGCCCCTGCAGGTGTTCCGGTGGCTGCTCCACCTCCATCCCTCTGTGCTCCTCTCCGTCCCTCGCCTCAAATCCCTTTTTAAAGATGTTCCTAAGGATCTGAGGTGTAAAAGCCCTCCTGCTCCCTAGCTCTCTCACTCTCTTTGGCTCTTCATCCCTGCCTCCCTTGCATCTAATTGAAAAAGGTGTACGATGGGAAGGGCCCCACTGAGAGAGGAAACATGTTAGAGGAGGAGACTTTGGAGAGAGAACCTAAGAATTAGGCAAGCAAATGGGGAAAGTGGGAAGTGCAGGAGGGAATAGAGGTTATAGCTGGCAGGGAAGAGGGCTTTGGTTTTTTTTCAACTGGTGAGAAAGAAGGGTTAATTAGAATGTGAAGCAGAGGAGCCAAGAGTCTTGGGTAGGTTGTGGGTCTGTCTACTCCAACTTGAGCGGCTGCTCCTCAGCTTCTCTTCCACTTACTCTGAAATGTAATTATGGTGTTGAACAAAAAAGGTTCCTGCAAAGCCTCCCCTCCATCCTTTTTTCTACCTCTTGTCTCCACTTCATTTATTTACAAGTAAAAAATGTCTTCCACACCTCCTGGTGGATTTGGTAAACTCAAATAAATTTTTTTAATAATCTCAGGACTGTAATTGATATGCAAAAATTCAACTGAAAATGTGTTGAGCCAAAAGCTTTGAGAATTACAGAGTAAGAACCCAGGAACAAAAGAATGGATTAATGTTTCAGGGGGAGCAGAAAAATAAAGAGCAGCAAATGCGGCGTTAATAGTGTAGCCGGATTTTTTCTAAACAATCCCACCTGTCATTGGCAGTTTTTCACATGGGGATTCCTGTACAGGTGGGGGGTATATAAACAAACAAGCTCACTCACATAAACAAACAAATAAAAGGACCCTGCAGGTGCTCCATTATGTCTGCGTACCACCCATCATCCCCCACCCCCCCGGTTTGCTTAAAACCCACTAGTATCCACACAGACACAGGTTGACAAAGATGCCTCAGTACAAATAAGTCAGTTTGATTTAGAAATAGATTATTTCTGCACTTATGATGCAGCCCCGTCCAGCAGACACACAAAGAGACGCAGCTGAAGCGCAGTCCCAGATGGTGTTTCCGTGTGTTTGGAGCCTTGGGATCCATGAGGATGCTGGAGACAGCTGCTCCACAGAGGCGAGGAGGGGTGGGGGGAGGTTAGAGGAGTCTATCGAAGCAACTATGATTTTATATTAATTCCAAATGATTGTAAAATTTCCCTGAGACACCAGAGACTCATGGTGGAGATGGCCTCATGCCCTTAGGATAAATGTTGCATATTCACAGAGGCACACCTGGGATCTCCAGTATATGTGCTTTAAATCACCGGAGTGAGAATTCCCCAACTTTCCTGCACTTATTTGAATAATTATACTTGTCTTTTAACTCCACGTGTGTGTCTGTGCCTGTGTGTACTTCAGAGGCGCATCTGGTAGTAGGCCTGTTAGTGCACAGAGACAGAAGGGTCATCAGGGGAACGCTTGATTAGTTGCCAGTGAAACATTAAGGCGTGCCAGAAGAGGAAACAGTGCAAATTTGGCACACAAAACATAACTCCAGATCAGACCACTACACCGTCTGTGAAGAAATATTGTCTATACCATTTCCTGATACTATCTCAAGTTGCCCTTCGCAAATAGGAATCTTTTTTTTCTGTTTTCAGCTTTGCTTTCTATTCTAACCACAAAGAAACCTATAGTTTATTGGGACTTTACCTGACAAGCTAATATACCTCAGAAGATTTATTAAAAGTGGCAAAATGACACAAGCTTTCACAAATACAAACCTTCCCCTTTACTCTGCTGCAGCTATATAAAATCCCTCCTGGATAGTCACCTTTCTGTAAGTTAATCTTAGTTTAGATTTCCGTCTTTTATAGGCCTTAGTGTAAATACAGCAGTGCTTTGCTGGAGAATGTTAGTAAAAAGAAAAAGCGATTATTAAGACAAGACTAAAGCATGTCAGAGAGAAAAGTTTTAAATACATTTAAAGCAGGTTTAGCTTTTAAGACGGAGCTTTGGGCGCTTTTAGATCCATTCTGCAAATGGGAATAATCTGGGACAATACTGTTCAAGCAGATAAAAAATTGGTCAGATATGAATGTCCATATCTATATAACATGGCCCACCACAGGTTCAGGTGTATCAGAACTCAAACAAACACTCTGCCAAGTCTAAGTCCTTAATAAAATTAATTGATTAGATAGCCATTATTAGTTTGAAAAGTCCTGCTTGTCCTGTTTTATGCAATTCCTGTAGGTGGCATAGCCAATATAAAAAAAAAATATAATAATAATTGGAAATTATTGATCTCACATTGGAAAAATTTACCTTTGCATTTAACCTATCCCCTTGGGGAGCAGGGGGCTTCCTTTGTGCGGCACCCAGGGCAATCAGGGGTTAAGGGTCTTGCTCAGAGACCCAGAGTGGTAGTCTGTGGGAGTGGGGCTTGAACTCAGAACCTCAGGACTCCCAGCTCTATACCGCAACCACTAGGCCGCTACTCCCCAAGATGATTGATATCTCTGATGAAATGCTTTGTTTTGAAGAAAACAGCAGCATCATGTTGAACCACTGCTGCACATTTATTTTTTTAATAGAAAGATATTCAAAATTGTTTTGCGTTCTCTCCTATTATTAAGTAAAGGTCAATCAGAGTGGTACAGTACTTGTTTAAAACAGCATCAATACTCCAGAAAAAGCAGTATGGTGTCTTAACTTTTTTTTCTGCAGTTTCTGTCCCTCTGAGTTTCTCCATGCTCTCCACCCCGGTGTCTTTTAGTCTCCTGGTCCTTGCAGACTGCTGTTATTTCCACCTTTCTCCTTCAAGTGTGACAGTGTCATAGCAATCACTGCTAACTGCTGGTGTCAGAAGTGGGATTGGGGGTTTTTCATGCTTTGAATCTCTCTGACAGTACAATACGCCCCTAGACTTGTGCTAATGTGGGGTGAGGAGGGATGTGGGGGGGGAATAAATATCTGCTAAAGACATAAATGGTTCACACGAATTCACTCCCACCTGCTTGAGACTTAACTCTTTCACACAGGGAGGGAAGGTTTTACACGCCTCCACACTCCCATAGACTTTCACACGTCTCCAGCTGGAGAACTGAGGAGAAATCATATTTAATGCCTCATATGACGCGGAGCGGCACTCAGAAATAGACTACAAAACAAAAGTCCAAAAAAAAGTTTAAGAAGAAATCAGATCACACCACATACTCGTTTGGAGGATCAGGACAAAACTAAGTGGGGAGGAAATGCGCCTTTTGTTGCATCAGTCAATCGTAGCAGCGCTCTCAGAAGTGTATGAGTGCGTGCGCGTAAGAGATAATAACCATATTTAACATCTTATGACATCCCAATTTCATACATGTTGTCAGAGCAATGCAATGCAAGAAGAAAAAAAAGACACTGCTGCATTTTTCACAGGTTCTGCTTTGCTCTTTTGCTCCTTCACATATTTTCATGTCTCCCACATTCTTCTCGCCTCTCTCCCTCTGTCTCTCCTCTGTCCGTCTGCTTGTCTTTCACACTCACCAGCTGCTGTGTCCATACTGTACAGTGTGTGCTATTTCTGAATGAAGCCGTCTTCTCGTGCAGCCAGTCTGCAGACGGGGCTGAAGCCAGACCACTGCTAGTTCACTGTGGCTGCAATGTAACTGTGCTCATAGACAGAGAAACCCTGAAATTGGCACCTGGAAGAGAGAGAGAGAGAGAAATCACTGTGGGAGAGTTGAGATTATTTTAAATGCAGATGTTTCTTGGCAATTGAATAAAGACCAGATTCAGTTTGAAGTATCATTGCTATTTTTTTTCTCTTGACGATATGGTTTGGGGTCCATGTCTCCCGTTTCATAAAACTATAGAGTATCATTCAGTCTCTTATTTGTACAACAGTGAATTATTAACCAATATCAGCTTTGAGGAGTTGAGACTTTTGATTTTTTTATGCTTTCTGATCACCTGTAGTTTTAATTGGCATAAAGAGATACTGTGGGCTCTTTGAAGTGAGGTTTTGTGATGTTATTATTCCCTTGTTCTAAAAAAAAAAAGCCATATCACAGTCTATAAGATAAAACTAATTTTAAAACAACTAAAATGCATAAGGCTAACACCTAGCCATGCTTAATTTAGCAATAAAAAAAAAAAAAATTCCTTTGTTTCACCAGATAAACCCCGTTGAGACCTGGATCTCATTTTAAAAGGGGACCAGGGCAGAGATCTGCAATACAACCTGGTTAAAAAAAAATAAATTAATACTTATGCACAAATATAAAACAATTTAAACACTTTAAAACAACTACATACATGACAAATCACCAGATATTTAATATTTAAACTACCCCAAAAGGTAATTAGATTATTGCTGTTTTTCTCAGCTGCTTAAGATCCCAGTTATTATGTTTAATTTGTTAGCAGAAGCTGTTAGATTTATTAATCTGCCGGATTAGCTTCGAGTCTCTTGTTACAATAAAACCCTTGGATTTTGTAATATCGCTTATGCAGCAAATTAGCTAAACCCTCCCCAACTCACATTTTATCGTAACAGAGTCAGTTAATAACAAAAAGGTGAAACTATAATATTATTATTATTGATCTCACTTGAGAAATTCACCTCTGCATTTAACCCATCCCACTGGGGAGCAGTGGGCTGCCCTAGTGCGGCGCCCGGGGAGCAGTTAAGGGTCTTTGCTCAGGGACCCATGGCAGACTGTAGGAGTGGTGCTCGAACTCAGAACCTCTGAATTCCAAGCGCAATGCCCTAACCACTAGGCCGCTACTCCCCTCAAATTGTATACCGCAGATTCAAATGCTAAAATTAGCTAAAACAGGATTACCAATCTGATTAGCCAAAACCTTCCTCTGCTTTAAGGATTTTGTTTTTTGAGGGGAAGTTTGCTTTAGTTTTCTGCAAACTCACTGTGATATGGCATTTTTCTATAGAGATGAGGGAATTAAATATTATACTACCAATAACTTCACTACCCTCCCTTCTAAACACCCTTATCACATCTATCTATCATTCTATCACCCTAATCACACTGACAGGAGTCAGTGATGCCTATAAGAAAAAAAACAAATAACATCAAGATCGTTCAGGTCCCCTTACATGAAGTTAAGATTGTTTTTTTTGTTTTTTTAAGTATAGCTTTCAAAAAGAGCAACAGTTTGTTCATTTAAACAACCTCTTTTTTCTTCCTTTAACCCCAACTTTTATTTTTGAACCCTTTTTTTTTCTGTCAGGACTGTCCTCGCCTGGTTCACTTAAGAAGCCGGGGAAGTTTGATTTCAACGCCCTGACTTCCCAGACGAGGTCTCCCCGCATGGCGTTCACACACCACCCGCTGCCTGTGCTGGCAGGAGTGAGACCAGGTGAGAGCCCTGCCATGAACCCAACAACCCCAACACCCCTTAAAATCTGAAAAAGAGAGAGAAGGAAAGGGAGCTTTAAACTTGATCCCAGATGATCGCATTTTCATGCTGAAGCTCAAACAAAATGAAGTCCTCAATCGCGTACCTCATAGCGGAAATCCAGCTTTTATAGCTGGTGAGAGATACCAAAGAAACGAAAACTTTTCAGTTGTTCAGTTGCAAACTGCAGAGAAGCAACGTGCCTGTGGAGTTTCACCTGTTCAGTGTTACTGCTGTCATCCTGGCTTGGCATAAATTCCTCTCTCTCTCTTTCAGGCTTTCTCCATCCATCCATTATTACCACCATCTTTGTGCTTGTGTTTTTAATATCATCATTGCATGGTTCTAGTGCTGCATCCATGCTTTTGTGAATGATTTGCTTCTCATCTTACTGCTCCATGGATTTGTTTTAATGACTGTCAAGGTCAGCTCATGCATTAAAACCGACAAAGATGAAGGAATGACTTTGAATAGATGTAAACACTTCACACCGTATTGAGCTATAAGGCACTTAAGTGGCAACATTCCTTAGAAATATCAGGCAACAAGGCCAGACAACAAGATCTAACAATTACATAGTGTGCATTAAAACCAATCAGTCTTTTTTCCCCCTGTTTTTACATGTAGATACCCAACTCTGATGTAGTTTTACTTTTCAACCACTTTCTTTTTAAAGCATCCAATAAAGAATTACAAATTTATTGAATGAAGCAGCAGGGATAGTTACAGGTAGAGTAAAGAAGAACCAAGTAGATGTTTCTGGATAATTTTAAATTAACAACCCATTTTGCCAACAATTCTGGTGTCTTTTTATAGAACTAAAAGGTTTCAGGACAGGCCTTTGGCTACGTTCACACTGCAGGCCTTGATGCTCAATTACGATTTTTTTGTGAAATATTTCCAAATAAATGCGACTTGTATGTGATCTCCTGTGTGAACTGCAGTCATACAATGCAAGTGTACTGCATGTGCAGTAAAGGACGCGATGACGTCACAGGCCAGCGTGCTCTATGTTCGCGGAAGTAAACATGGACTGTAGTGCCAGCGCGCATCTAGCGGTCTATTCCAACCATAAAAACTCAATCTTTACAATGTCTTTAAACATAAATACTGCTCTCTGCATCATTATCTGCCATGGTTGTTGTTTTTCTTGCTGCTTCTATTTAGCAAGACATAGAATAGTGACCTTTGTCGGGTATTGATGGCGTTCAGGATGAATTCGACCTGGCTGTTCACACACAAGTCGCATTTGAAAAGAACAGATTCGTATCGGATTCAGGACCACATAGCCAAGTCGCCTGGGTCGAATTGGAAAAATTCGGACCTGTGTTGTTCAGACAGCCATGAAAAGATCAGATCCAGGTCGCATATGGGCAAAAAAATCGGATTTGGGTCACTTCAGGCTGCAGTGTGAATGTAGCCTCTTTCAAGCCCTAAGAGTTCAATGTTATTGCACTCTCTAGAACACTTGATTCTAGGATTATACATTTTAGAGTGATCACTTCTGTGGCACATTTTTACTTTACAAAAAAATTGCATGTTAAAGAACTTGTAGCACTTAGTTATTGGATTTACTGGTTGAAGAAAATACCAAACTGGTCAGTTACCCGTCACCAGTTACAGCCAGGAACCTATTCTTGAGGAATAGAGTGATGGAAGTTTTTTCACTAGTTTCCAAATATTCATTCTCTTTTTTTAGGGTATGTTGTCCTTTAAATAGCCTCTCAGTCTGAGAGGATATGAAGCCAGTATCTCTTAATAGAATTCCCCCCAGTATCTCCAGTTTGCCAGAAAGTCCCAGTAGAATGGTCTCACTTTTCAAAGAAATAAAAATGTCCTCTTCTCTAAGTAATAGCCCCCCTCCTCCAGCCCATTCCATTTGTCTCTCCTAAGGGATAGATTGGTCTACAGCCAAGCCAGAGCTGCCATGTAAAGGTCATTTAAACGCATTGGCCACCATGTTAAACTATTGAATTTTGCTTGCAGAGCTCCCTACAGTATGTTTAGAAAATGTATTCTTGTCAGGATTTGCAAAATGAAGCCATGCTGTTTATCTGTGCAGAACAGTCTCAGGTCCCCCTAAAGAATCCCAAACACTAGGTTGTTGAGTTGAGATGTGTGCAAAGTGTTTAGGGAATATCTTAGCTTCCTTTGCTCCTAAGCTAACCCAATACCTTCAAACTGTAAGAGAACCACTTGCCAGGAGCTTTCTCTGAAACGGATAGGCTGCAATGACACAGTATTAGCAAATTTTGCCTCAGTGCTTTTGCTCACCTACGCATCAATACACGCCTGCGTGGATGTGTGAATTAACACTTTTATGGATGGCTTTTTGTGCAAAGATGGCTGCCATCCAAATGGAACGTCCCTCCGAGGCCTTGGTTCCACAAACATACTGGATGGCAGGGAGGAACGGAGAGTGATGGGTGTGGACAGAGTAGAAAGTGAAAAGGTTTTAAAGCCTCATGCTATGAAAGTGTTGAAGCTGTTATTTGCTTCAGCGGAGGTCTCATAAGAATGGCCGTGCCGCAGTTAGGGTTAGGACTGATTGTTTACTCCTGGATTTTGCCTTCAGACTAACATCTAAAGCTGCCAAATCAATGGATGCCTTATTAAACCTCCCTGGGAAGTCAGTCATCATGGAAGGAACTACAGAGAAATAATTTAATCCAGCAGTAGAAACAAAAAGAAAAAAACTAAACACATGGAAAGCAGAACGGTCTCATGATAAGGTACAGCCAAAGAATTCAAATTATGAATACCTCGAAGGTCAAACAATAGAAGATGGAAATACAACATCACAAACAACAAGGGCTTTCCCTAACGAACAGCTTGTGTCTTTGGTTAGCCGAGCTCGTGTCCAGAGCCAGAGATTCACAGCAGGAAAAGATGGAGCATACAGCCCACTTTTTGTTTGGCTTCATGTGTGGCTTTGTGCACGTGTTTGTGGTCGGCTGACTGGCTGACTAATGTCTCTGGGAGGTGTTTGTGGTCGGTCGGGGGCAGAGGGGAGGTTCTCTCCCAAGCTTCAACCCACCGGGCAGAACCACACAACAAGGATGCGCTTTTGATGGATTGCGCATCGCGGACAAGCAATAAAACAAAAGTGGAAAAACCCAGTGTATGTGTGAAGCTCCGGTATACCCTGGTGGTTGGTTTGTGTGGGTGTTAGAGAGAGAGAAATGAAGATGGAGCAGAAGGCAGAAGATAATGTAACACCCCTACATGAAGCTAAGGAAATGCAAATGTATAAAGATAAGCTATAGTTTTACAGAAAATATGGAAAATGGGAGAGATTAGTCATTTAAAAAACTAAAAAGAAGGGGGTTGGATTCAGTCTACAGCTTGATAAACTGAATTTAAAAACATCAGTAAAAGCAGGTCCTTTTTGTATTTTTTGTTGAAGTGTTGAATACACTGTCTGCTTACATAAGAAGTTCAAGACATTTTAAAAGTGGAACACTAGAATCATTTTAATTTAATTAAAGAATCAATAAATTGTGTAGAAATATTTATAAAACCATGTTGTAAAATGGAGTTCTTTCACACGCGTGGTTTTCGTCTTAAATAAATACTTGACAATCAGGAAGAATAGAATCTTATTAAAGTTCTTTAAATTGAAAAGTTAAAATCGGTATTAGCTGGTCCAACATTTAGAACAATAACAAATCATTCACCAAGTTGCATGTTGTAAACATGGACAAACCTGCGGTACTGCTGATGCTATTGGCTAATGTGTTGAGAATGTCTTATTTTGTGTTTATGTTTTGTTTCTAGTGATAAAACCTGAACCTGATTTGGTGTTTTCTCCTTACTTTTCTCTTCCTCATCCTCTTTCTGTTTTTCGTTTCAAATGGCCGTCTTGTTCTCAGGGAGCCCTCGTGCCTCAGCCTCAGCCCTGCACTTCCCTTCCTCCTCTATCATCCAGCAGTCCAGCCCATACTTCACCCATCCCACCATACGCTACCATCACCAGGACCCGCTTAAGGATTTTGTGCAGTTTGTTTGCACGGATGGCACAGGGCAGCCCAGTGCACAGGTAGGTGTTTGTTTTTTACTATTTTTTCCCCTAATCTGTAAAGTAAGGAGGGGTATGCTGATCTATGTAGCAGCACAGTTTGTGATGCAAAAATGACATAGAATTAAAGTTGTTTAAACCAGAAATCCCTTTAAATTCAATGAGAATGTCAAACACGCAAAAAAAAAAAAGAAAAACACAAAGATTAAAAAATCTGTGAAATAAAATCATACATGTTCTTCAGTTGGGGGTAAAGATCTTGCTTATCAGATGTGCAGAGAGGTTTTGGCTGGAACTGGTCGGTCAGCTCTAGAGAAGCTAAGATCTGCGTGGCAGGCCAGCTGAGGATTTGAAGCAGTATTATATTTTGCACAGTTTGCACAATCAACTACCGATGGAACGAACCCACGGGTGACCTTAAAGTAGAGCTTGCACTCAAGGATCAAAGCTTTTCTGACAACCTGCCATTTTTTTTTTATTTGACTGTTTTTGTACTCCAACAACATTCCCTCAACATGCACGCCTTTAATAGTCTGTTTGGCAGTGTGCAAGGATTTGGTTGCTTAAGGCCTGGTAGGAGATCAAGTAATATAAATGAAACAAAGCAATTCAGCCTCAGATATCTGAGGGTTACCCGATGTGCAGGTCTACTGAAACACGTCATGTAGGGTAAGTGTTGATTTGGAATGAGGACTAACCCGAATGCCAAAGCTCCCAGTGGCTCAGAGGGTGCTGCTTTGGGGTTGCGTTCACACCCAGTTCATGGCAGCTTTGATAATCAAACAACATGCTCACTCTCTTTGTTTAGCTAGCCCTTGAGAGGTGTTTCTAGATGCTTTGACACACATCCACAGAAATGGGGTTAGGGTTAGAGTAGTACTGTAAACCTTTATTGGAAACCCTGTTTTTTTTTTCCTTTAAACATTTATTCTCATTGCTTTACAAACGAAGATTTAATATTTTATTAATGACGTACATCCACTGAAGGCACAGACACCCATCCAAGCAGGCATCATCTATAAACAGTGTTTTCAGTTCCTACATTTCACTATAACTTCTCCTAACAATCCATTGCTGTCCTTCGTTGATCAAACCATCTGTCTTTCTCTATGTGAGTGTTAGACAATATTCCTAACTCTGATATATTCAATAATATATTCCTGTGTGTGTTTGCCTGTCTTTATGTTTGTGTACTGTATGAGTCTTTACAGGGTCTCAATAAACTTGTTGCTTTTTTCACATTTTGCTTGGTTAGAACCACAAAAACCCTAAGTCCTTAGTTGGGATGTATGTGATGGACCAAAAGCGCTACGTAGAGCATCCTTAGTGGCTCATGTTTGTCAGTAGGCAGATAATGAAGGGGGTGGAGAGAGAAGGGTAGACATGCAGCAAAGGTGTCTGGGTTTTAGATCTGAACCTCCAACGGCTGCATCTGCAGCCTCCACTGCATCAAGCCTTTCACTTTTATTGTTTAAATGTTTTAGGAGGTGGAGATTTAAATTGTTAAATAATATAAGGGAATTGCTTAAATCTGTAGTCCATAGCTTTACATTGTTAAAATAATTCAGGAGATGCTTCGATTTGAATGCCATGTATTCTGATATTATGTTGGTAATCAGCCATAATAATAATTTCGATGTAGTCCCTTACCAATAGCTAAACACAATCTGAAAAGCATGCCTAACTTTAACCAACAGTGTATTAGTCTGGAGGGAGCTGTCAATCAACAGGTAGTGAGCGTTAAACTAGGCCACAGTTCTCCTGGCTGTGCAGTGGAGCTACTAAGATAAGGAAGTTATAAGTTATTTCCCTTCAAACAAAGTTTAGATTGTAAAATTTCAACGAAAACTGCCATTAGATGCATGCAGCTTTCTATTAGAATTTACATTGAAGATGTTTGTTGAAAAGAGGACGATCTAATTTTGCCTCACATGTACTGCAAACACTTTATTTAACCTTACGCTGTTGATTTTATTTTCTTATTGCTCTCTACTTCTGCTTTCCTGTCAGCCATGGCTTTAGTCTCCTTTAGGAGGGGAAGAGGAATAGTGGTGGGAGCTGATGCTGTCAGTTTTTATAATCTCCCCGCTTTCTCCACATTTAGAAAAGTTAAGGACTGCAGCTTTATGGTGATACTTTTTTGGGGGGGTTAAGCTCAAAACCGTCTATCATTTTCCTTCCAATTCAGACCTATCCTCTATCATATACATTTTTCAAAAAGTCCATTGATATTGTTTAAAAGTACCAAAATGTGAAAAAAACTCAATGGGAAGGATTTTTGCAAAGGACTGAATGTGTGTGAGTGTGTCAGGCTCCCTGTCCACTGTATATTCTTGGGGTGTGCCCTCCTTACCCTATCTGTATGGTCCGTCTGCAGCCTAATGGAGGTGGCCAGAGCAAAATGCCGGGCTCCTTCCTGTTGCCCCCGCCACCCCCGGTGGCGCGCCCTGTGCCCCTCCCCATGCCCGACTCTAAAACCTTCAGCACGCCCACTGACGGTGGACTCGGCTCACCCGCATCTCCGTGTAAGTCACTCCCAACTCCCCTTCACAAAATGATGCCCGGTCCCCCCCCCCTAAAAAAAAAAAAATGTAAGCCTATCCAAGTCAGAATTGGCCGTAAATTTATTCTGTTTTCAGCTTTTCAGGAAAGGACCAAAACAAATCCAGGCATCGTAGAAGTGCCAATCTTATGTGTGGTATCACTGTGTTCCGTTAGCTTTGATAAAACCACACATGGTTAGCTTTAGATCATTTTTACGTAAAGTTGCAGTCTGCTCAAACACCCAGCAGCCCCCAGGGAAACAGGTGCCATTGGCGGGCCGGAAGCCACGCTTTTCAAAGCCAAACCAGAGATCCTCTGTCACTCTCCTCTGCAGCCCTTTTTAGACATGACTTTGTCACATTAATGCCTTCATCAAGTTGCTAAAAGACGCATTTCATTTATTCATACATTCAGGTCCATTCAGGTTAATTTATGATATTTTTACTCATGCTTTTCATGACTGAGACCCTATATAGTGATGAATAGAGAAGATGTGAGCAAAAAACTGTACATACAGATAGAAATGAGTTTTGACAGGTTCATGCCTTCCATTGGATTAAATATAGCTCATATTTTTATAATAGCTCCTAGTAGAATATCATTAAATAGTAGCAGCTAAAATGTTGATTATTCAATATGAAGATAGATCTAATAGCATCTTATTTCTAAGAGACTTCCAACATAAATTAAATCCATTTTTTATGAACTGGTGGACATTTATTTCACTCCACAAGGGACAATGTTTTAATCATCACATTTCTGCCTGATCTTTAGCATCCAAAATGTTACATTAGACAGCCTGATGAGGAGCATATCAAACGCAGTTGTATAGGGAGCACAGATGCCGTCCAGTTTAATGAAAGACGATCATGTCTGAAAGGGGCTCATTCTCTCAAGCTTTGAAATTCAGTCGTCTTTTTTTCTCTCTCCATGTCTTTGCAAACCATTTCTGCTTCCTTCCTCCACCTTTTCTCTCCATCTTTTCTCTCTGGTGTTAGATTTTCTTTTTGCTCCACAAGAGGCAGTGTAGTTTTACTCTTTTCTTTCGAATTAGTTTGGTAGTTAGCAAAAGCAGAGCAGAGCCTATTTCCTCTCTCGCTCTAAGCCTTTGATCAGAGCAGCCTTTGCATGTCGCTCTGACAGCTGCAATACAACCTACCCTCGTCTCATTCCTTTTTTTTTTTTGCTTACTCCTTTTCTCTTTTTTGTGTTTATATGCTCATATTTTCTTTTCTTTGTTTAATTTTGCTTCATTGTTCTTTCTTTTTTTTTTTCCTTTTTAAGGAGACAAAATTAGGGCAGTTGGCGTTGACTCCAAAAAGACTCCATGCCCCACTTCGCAAAAGCAATCCCCTCGCCATTTTCATACAAACCTCATAAGAGTTAAGAACCGGGAACAGGCTAAACATGAAAATACCATCATTACAAGAGCAAGATTCATCTCTAGACATGGATAGGAAAATGTGATCCAACGTGTTTAATTAGTGCTGTACTTGGGGAGTGCATAAGAGGAGTGTGATCTGAGAGCGGTGAGGCTCTGGTTGGTTCCACCCAAGCAGGTGCGGAGCTAGAGTCGGGTCATGGGAGAGGCACACCAGGAGGGGGCGCTGGACAGAGCAACCGAGGCTCCTTTTCCTTCTTTCTTCTCTTCCTTTCATTCCAGCTTCTTCCTACACTCTCAATTTAACATGTCAAACCTATTTATTTATATCAACATCTATATAAATAAATACGGAAATGTCTCGTCATTTTATTTTTATTTTTTTTTATTTTTCTCATCCTGATGACAGATATCGCTGTAAATCTTTCCTTCCCCTTTAATTTTTGTCTGTATATCTCAATAACAGCCATAAAAACACATGTAAACATGCATACAGATGCATATGGTACGCTGACACATGCATCAGTCTCCACTCCTGTCACTGTTCACCCCCCCCGCATCCCCATCCCCTTTACTCGTGCAGGTCGGGCACAGCCAAGGTTCCACTCAGCCGCCATGTTGGAGTCCTGTTAGCACAACTGCCCTAAATTTGGCCCTGTGGCCTAACTGAACAATAAAATTACCCCCCCTGCCCCACCAGGCCCCTTAACATGTTAACTATGAGTTCATTGTTGCCCTCCATGTGATGTCCACAATGGTTTCTGAAATCCCAGTGGCTTCTTCTTGAGGCCAGGGGGCTGCTAAGGAGTGTCTGTTTGCAGACTGTTTGCCCCTCCTTTAAAGCAATGAAATGGTAGGTTGACATACTTTTAAAATCAACCCGCCAATAATGTGGACAAATACCCATCGACCAATTAGGAATCAGGATTCCTCCCTCTTAATGTCTTTTCATTGTAGCTCAGACAGAAACATACAGTCACAGCCTCAGCTGGTTAATTATTCCTATTTGAAATCAAATGATGATGAGAGCATCAGACTCTATTACAGGCTGAGTGTGTATGCCTGTGTGTAAAAGCATGTACACACTTGTATCTCTCTGTTTGTAGCATACTCCACGGCAGGCTCCACAGCTCCCAACCGGTTTGTCGGCATCGGAACACGGGACAACTTTCTGAATATCCCCCAGCAGACTCAGGTACCCTGCCAGCCTCCCTCATTTACTAAACATCAACATATCCACCGCCTCCTTCTCTGTTTGTGTCTTTTGTCTTCCTCCACGCTCATCACCCACTAAAATCCCAACTCTGCTCATTGCTGTTTAGAGATGCACCCTTTTCCTGGCGTCTGGGTTGGAATAACAAAGCATGTTTTTAGAACGAAGGCCATGATATAAAGGGTTTTAGCCGGACAGTGAATCTGCTAAATTGAAGAGCCAGTTAATGATATCTGACTTTATTTGGTACCTCAAGGGTCAGCCTTTAGTTCTCATCTTGCTCTGCTCTTGTAATCAGCTGTGCAAGATTTTCTGTTTCCATTTCTGCTGGAAAAGTCTGTTATTTCCCTCCAAACTTTGTCTGCTACGTTGAGGGTTGCCCATGTATCAAGGCCTTCAGTTTCGGTATTGGTTTACAGTGCCTGTACCACATTAGATTCCCCACCGTGAAAGTAAGAGGTGCCAGTTCATTTCAGCTCCAGCAACGTTGATTTATCTTTACAAGGTCCCACAGTGCAGCGTGTGAGGCCAGCGCTGCACTACATTGTGGTTTCAGCTTTGGCTGTGCTCTGCTACTGGACTGCAGTGTCTTGGGCCTCCTCCATCACCAACACAACTTTTCTCATTAGGGGCTAACCACACCTGCCTGCAGCCAGCGCGGCTGTCCCATTCTCACCACACACACATGGAAACGATCTGCATTTCTGGTCGGCACGGCTCCCCCGGCCCCCACCACCCTAGTGCATTCTCTGTCCACATTCCCTGTGAGCTCCTGCGGCTTCCCAAGCTCCCCCACCTGCACCACTCTCCCACAGATGCAGCTTTGGCACTTAGGGGACATCCAACATGGTCCAAATGTGCATTTACATGTACAGATATACAAAATCTTGTCCTGTATTCTCTTTCCACGGATAAACATGAACTCATATTCTCTCTATAATACCAGTTACCTTGTGTTTTCATTAAAAATGAACAATAATTATTGTTTATTCCATTAATTTCTTATTTCTGTTAGGCAAAGATAGCATCAGCTCGCAGTTAGCTGAGCCTAGTAGGTAAGCTCCAGCCTCAGCTTGTGTAAGTAGCATAGGTCTCTGCCTGTCCTGCTGTTCGCTGGCATATGGTGAGCCTCAGACGGCGGCCCTGCCAGCCCGCCTTGAGCTCTGCAAGCCAACTAGCCAAGACAGAGGGAGAAAACCTTCCCACTGTTGTCAGAGTAATAATCAGAGAAAAGCTGGTCTGAGGAGCTCTCTGGTGGTCGGACGTCAGCTATGCAGGAATGGCGAAGGAAATATATGGAAGCATGGATGAAAACCCAGAAAGAACAGGACAGCAGAAGGAGTTAGTTGAAGCTCGCTGCGCTCCACAGTCACATCCCCGCTGTCTGGTTGCCAGCAGCGACCAGACATGATGTCATAGGCAGTTGAACTTGGACTTGAAGGAGTGGGATGGGGGGGGTCTCTTTTCCATTGCCAAGGATTACACTGAGAGTCAGAGAGAAAAGAGAGTAAAAAGCCTTTTGGAGGCAGCAGAAGGAGGTGTTATCTACAGACGACATGATCAGACGGTCGGCTTTTAGATAAAGAAGTTTCAGAGCATTTCTACTTTCTAAAGGTTTTCTACTGTATGATTGGGGGTGGGGGGAGGCAGAGAGTTTCCTGTTGAAGGTGTGGTGAGTGGCTGCTTTCTTTAGGCTGAAGTCCGTGGAATGTCAGAAGCTGCCAGAATAGCCCGGCCTGTGCCAAAGCCTCTACCCTGCCATCTTATCAGACCAAGAAACACGATCTCTGGAGTAGCTGCTCATAGAGGCCTTACATCGTAGCCTGAGAGTACTCTGGCCCTCACAGCACACAGATCCTAGCAGGATGGCCTTACATGTAAAATGGTAGCAAATTATAGAGTATCTGCAGTCCTTTGCTGCCAAAGTTAAAAACTAGAATGACACAAATATAGATGCATAGATACATTGTGTTTGTAAAGTAAGGGCAGTGTCAGAATTTTTTAAAGGAAACTATGAAGCTGTAAACCAAACTTTGTGTTCAATGGGATAGCTGAGCTCCACAAATACTGTAAAAGGAATTCAATGTCGCCCTCTAGTGGTTGAAAATCAAATAAGTTCCTGGTGTGTTTGCTAATTTCACTCAGGTTCTCAATCATTACTGAGAGCCCACTGCCCTGGAAGTGTTAGACGCTTCTCTGCCGCCACACTGACTTATAGGAATAAGAGATGATTGTGTGATTAACAGGTTCCTGTGGTGCTTGATGGTGCCCAGAGGAAGTAGTGCATTTTTTTTAATTAAGGTTTGCTGGAGCAAAGACACGTCTAAAAGGATTGTGGGCCATGAGGGCCAGGTTTGAGAAATGCTTGGATAGGGTTTTCCCTTCCAGTGCTAAACCAAAGATGGCGGGGAAAAAAGCAACTTCTTATCTTGTTCTATTTTAGATTACATACCAAAAAGCCAGTTTGACACAACTTCAAAAGATCATTTAAAAACATCTCCAGAAATGACTACTTGTTTTTATTTTTATGATTTGTTTAGACAATCACAGTGGAGGGTGATGCTTGACCTACACAATATAATATATATAATACAATATATTCCAGTGACTATATCACCTTTTGATCATGTTTAATCAAGCTACTTGTGCTTCACTTAGAGAGATTGAAAGCAAAATTAGTACAGGCGTTTGTTTTTTCTGGTGTTTACATCACTAACTCTAAAAAGCAGCATGGCTCTGGAACCAGTTTGTTGAAAAACATGCTAAATGGTTCAACTTTACTTTTCTAAGGTTCATTTAAAAGTACCAGAAATAAACAATTGAAATTGAAAATATAAAAATGTTTACATTAAACGTAACGGTTAATTCATCTCAATAACTCAGAGAATATTGATTAGTTACACAGATTGATCTTTTAAAGAATTTACCTCTGTTAATTAACTGGATTTATTTTTACATCAAATGAAGGCATAATATTTAAACTTATAAAATCAACTAATAAAAATACAATTTTCAATCAAAAAAGTAGGCTAAATGGAAAGTAAGTTTAATACCTGCTTAAAAGGTATTTTCAATCAGTTAAAATTCTAATTTATTATGGGAATTTTTTAGAAAGATTAGTTTACATAGCAACAAAAAACATAAATATTTCACATTACGGTTTACACAGTCAGACCGTAAACTGTGTTAAAATATATTAAAAAATTGGTTTTGAAGATAGATGAAGATTTTTGCTGTCCTCTGATAAATCAGTGCTGTAATAAAGTTTTCCTTAAATATTGTGACTAACATCATTTACTTTATGTAGGATTTACAGCATGACTGACCTCATGACTGCATGTGAAGTGTCACCATGTTCTAAATTGTTAACTTTTCCCACTCTGTCATGAATTTCTCTGCATGCAGCTTGTAGAAACTGAGATGATTTGAAATATAAATGCACTAAAAAGTTGTAAAAATGTATGTTTTTGTTGTTGTTTTTTCTACAGTCTTGGTTCCTCTGACAAGGCTTCTCTGAATCAACAGCTAAACGTGTGTCATGAAAATTGGAAATCTTGAAAAGCAAAACGCCACCCTCCCCTCCCCCCGCTGATAAAGGACAAACTGCTGACACTAAAAAGGTCTTTCTCGCCAAACACTATTGAAAGTACTACCACAGAACATGGAAGAACCCAACCCCGCCCCGGGAGGACCCCCCCCAACATGATTCGAATAGAACTGGTCGTCCCCTTTTCACAGAGGAGGCTCCATCCAGATCGAGCGGACAGACTCTGAACGCAGGGAAGAGGAAGAGGAGGAGCTGTCTCAGAAACACTTGGAAAAACGGCAGAAAGAAAACACAATGTAAAAAAGAAAAAAAAAACAACAAAAAAAACCTGACAAATGACCAATTTAACATTTGTTTATCTTTCTTTTATATACATATATATTTCTTTTACATTTTGTTGTCTCCACAATGAAACTCCATGCATTGGCTGGGAGATCCAAAAAAAAATGAATAAGTAACGGTGGAGTCGGATGTGCAGGTTTAGAAGATCACCACCCACATTGCGTACATGCATTTCCGTGAATTTTTTTCCGCATATCTCTCCTCCATCTCGCCTTAACCCCCCCCACCCCTATCCCCATCATAGCTGGAGCTCAAGAGTTAACCACAGCCTCATACCTCTGGAGCCGCGCACTCTGCCGCTTGACTCGCTGAGCCCCCTTTCATTACCGATTGGCCAATCATGGTGACACCATCTGATGGTGTGACATGTATGCACTAAGTGGCTGGTCTTTGTTTACCTGTCGAAGAATCAGGGCGTCCTGCTGGTGGGAGAAGTGAAAATCACGAGGCGATTGCAAGAAAGTGAAAACACAATAGACAGTCCTAACACTAACTCTACATGTGCTCTTTCGTCCCCTCACCTATGCACTATTAATTCTCAATAAGGGATGAATAATGTTGCACATCAGTGGCCAGATGAGTGATTGGAGAAGTGAGCAGAGGTCGGCCATCCCTGTAGGGATGAAGCTGTGGTAACATCTTGGCCCCTGAAGGTGACACAAGCACGCATACAATCAATCAATCTATTATTCACCGACAGCAGCGCACATACAGCATCAGCTTCAGTTTATTAGCTTTAATTTTGTTTTTTCTTTTTGCTTTTTTTTCTTCTTGCAATTTCTTTCAGATTTGGTGTTTTGGGGTTTGTATCACTTGGATTGTTTTGCACCTTCTCTTGCATGTCATTACAACATAGGTTTCTGTAGTTTGCAGTTATTCATTAGGTAGCACGCTCAGACCTTAGCGACAGTTTCTCAAACTTCTCAAAGACGGAAAGCACCGTGACAACAGCACATCACATGCATCCCTTGCATTGCTTCACACTGTATCCCAAGTCACATGAACATCCAGTAGAAACACACACACACATGAGAAATGCACACTAAAACCACCGGCAACCCGGATTAAAGGGAAGCCTTTTAAATTTGGTTCTCCAAAACCGCCTTTGTTAATGGTTTTTCATTCATTGTCTTTTTAATTTGAACTATTTTTATGTAAATGTTCACATTAGAATCACTGTTATTTTTCATCATGACACGATCCAACTAAAAAAGAAGCTGACCTCATAAAATAACTGGACTGCCGGGCTCTTGGTTCTGTTTTGCAGGGATAGTAAACCGGGCTGAGAGCTCTCTCTCTGAGCCTCAATAGAAACATTAGCTCTATGTACAGCAAGCCAGCGACAACATATGGAAGTGCCTCCTGTTAATTTCTAATTAACTTGACTTCAGGTTCTCTTCCCGTTTATAAGCTAAAGCTACAGGGAACGTTTGGCCCAGGATAGATGTTCATAGAGGACTGCAAACATTTTTTTTTATTTCTTATAAAGACAGAGAGATAATATACATATATATTTATGATGTATGCTCTTTTTTCCACTTTTACTCCTCAAGCTTGTTGGCAGTCTAGTTATTTTCTGAACTCTGAACCCCCCCTCATACACACACATACAATCTGTGTCAGTAAGATCGCCTTACTACTGCGAATCAAAACGACACACATCATCGCCATCTGCATTTATAATACCTAGATGATCATGTTGGGGGAAAAAAATCGACCGTAGGTTTGAAGAAAAGTGTTTGTTTTTGATGGAAAGTATTATTATTGAAAAATATGTGTCGATTGAGCCACGTGCAATGCATTGGGTAGATCATTGTGTTTGTCTGTTAGAGATTTTTAAGAAAGCTACGAGAAAAGAGAAAAAAAATATGTATTTGTTTCAAGTCCGTAAGCTCCGGGACTCTAAACTAGAGGGCCATGAAAAATCCTAGTCTTTGTAAGTTGGGGGTATTTGTTTTTATTTCTTTTGTCACTTTTTTTTTTTTTTATGTTTTATGTGTAATCATTTGTTTATAAAAATGTGGGAGGGTTGAAGGAAAAAAATAATAATAATCTACCAAGCTTCAAAACAGAAACTATCAGATGAAAACTGGTGCTTTAACACTATAAATTCAGATTCCTTGTCAGAACTATTCTAAATGAACAAAAATAACAGACCGTGTAGGCAAACAGCATTACTTCTCTCTCTCTTTGTATCTTCTCTTTGTATCTAGTGTGGGGAGAGGTTCCTGTCCCTTCAGGTTGGGTCACAAAAGGCAATCTGGTTCAGCCTTCAGACAGAAACGTATCCTAAACAGAGAACTTAGCCATGCACTGCCTGAAACTCACCAGCAAAACCAATCAACTCCCCGCTTTCACTCCCCTCCCGACAAATATTGGCAAAAAAAAAGATTTAAAAAAGACTCCCCTCCTCCTGATGCTTCACATCCATCTCCTTTTTTTGGTTTGTTTCGTGAATCCATTGTGGAAATCAGAGTTCTGATGTTGGATGCTGAACTCGTGTACAGGTAACAGAAGAAATGGGGCAAAATAGCATCTAATCAGGCAAAAATATGAGCCGTTTCTAAAGCAGTCAGCAAGGTGAGCCTCTCCCCGTCCCTTTCCACTCCCTCCTTTGTAAATGATGGCTCTTATAGTGCTTGTGCCGTAGTGTATAGTTTCCCAGCTGTAAAGGTTGTCCCTTGAAAGTGCCTTTTGTTCACAGACTCCATTTTGTAATTGAAAAATGCCCCTTTTTGTGTTTTTTTTGGGGGGTTCTTTTGTTTTTTTAAATGGCTTTAGGTAGCAGGTTGCCCCTGAGTGTCACAAGGCAGCTAAAGGTTGCTGCCCAATCAGCGCTCAGGGAAAAACTCCTCCCTCTGGCTGTGAAATGAACCCTGCCATTCATTCTCCCTCCCCCTTTATCCTTCCTTCATTTTCAAAGCTGTGTATCTATATGTCTATAATATATATATAGATATGCGCCTTTGTAAAGTACAAAAGACAAAACTGGTGTGAATTAGTTCTTTACTTTTTATTGATAAATGATGAAAAAAAAATTTAAATAAGCAAAAAAAAAGAAAAAAGAAACTTGTTCTTGTTCAACTCTTGCTTTTGTTTTCTTTTCCTCTGTCTCCACTGTCTGTTTTCTCTTAGACACTGGAGTAGTCTGTAACTGTGTCCGTCACTCTCCGTCTCCCTCGCTCGCTCTCTCCTTCTCCCCCCCGCCCAATCCGCTGTGGCGAAGGGTAAACATAGAAAAAGAAAAAAAATTAGAAAAAAAATATTTGCAGAGGAACTTTTTTTGTCTGAGCAGAATGCAGTTAGCTCACATGTTATTCTTGTCTGTATGCTTCACATTGTATTACCATACCCATCTTCTTCAGCTTCTCCATTCAGCAGCTAATGTAAGTGAACAAATTACGCTGACGGGCTTTTGGGGGTGTCCTTGGGTTGGCTCCTGGAGGGTGTGTGTTGGGGAGAGGTTTACAGAGAAGACTGATGGGGTCGAGAGGGCTGAACAAGTGATTCGGGACGTTTGATAGGGGCTGCTCAAGCTAGGATGACTTTGATCTTTAGTTTTAGCTATTTATATTTCGGCTTTGTTCCCCCCTTTTTGTTACCTTTTAATTAGGATTTATCTTCTTATTTGCTATCAGGGTATGCTGTCATTTAGGCTCCCTCTGAGGAGGCTTCGAACTGTAAAATTAAAGCACCTTATTACCGGAAACGTCCCACATGAGGCTGAAAGGGGTGGTTTTATTTCCTTACAAACTCATATCAATTCTAACCAAACTCTTCATAGAAAGGTGTTGTTGTTTACGGCGGGTTCCACGCTGTGAAACCCTCAGCAGTATTAGCCACATAGCACGCAACAGCCAGATCGCCTAAAACTCCTCTAAGAGCCTGACCTCTCACCTCTGAGGGCGTCCAGGGAAATCCCTCCACGCTTCGCCTCTGACCACCTCATGCTGGACCGATCCGTGTCTTTTGTCCTGTTGTTTTATTTTAGTCTTCTGATCTTCTGAAACGTGTTTGGTTACTGGTGAAATAGGCGGCCCCCCCACCACAGTGCCCCATTGACCCCTTGATTCCCAGCTCTTCTACAACCCCTGTGAGTATCCTCAGTGCAGCCCCCCCCCCCCCCCCCCCTTCTTTGTAAGAACACCCCCAGAGCTCTAGGTGAAATGCATGTGTTAATTACAGTTTCTTTTCCATAAGAAGAAAAACACAGTTTGAGAAGAGCAGCACCTGATTGAATAAAAAGGATGTTCTTGACTGTACTTCTCTGCCTCATGTCTTTCTTACCGACGCCTCAAGAGACACTCAGAACATGTAGGAGTACAAGCAGATTATAAAACATTGTGTCCATTTTTCTGTTTACATCTTCCAAGATTACATTTTTCATTTATTTATTTCTATGGAAACGCTGTCCTGAGAAACGAAAAGCAAACCCTCTTTTATTTTAAGGTTGGGTGGTTGTTGTTTTTTTTTATCTTGTTTTTTACCAGGTTCTGAAGTTGTTTACATCTCATAGATTACTGGCTCTCATCCACTGAACAGAAACTGAAGCAAAATGTAAAGAGGAAAACAATTCACCCTGTGATTCAGACACTTGCGAAAACCAACCATAACCACAGGAACTCATGAGGGGGTGGTTTTCTGAATGACTCCCTCACACCAATATGGTGGATTTCTCTTTCTCACTACAGCTTTTAAACCAAGCAGAGCCGTAGACTTTGACTGGTGCTGTTGCAGCACCTGAAGTCCTTTAATTTTCAGTGATTGTGCGGTACAGGGTCTGCTGCATTTCACTTCCTTGTTTCACTCCCCAGCTGTGGCTGTCAGGACAGATGGGCTCACATTCAATTAGGTCGTATGCATATTACAAAACAGGCCCAAGCCATCACTCCTCCACCCCTGTGCCTAAAGGTTAGAATGAGCTGATTTATTAGGTTTTCTTTAGACATATTGTGCCAAGCATTAAAACTGATTCCAGAGGCCAATTTTTAAGAAGTTATGCGATTCATTCAGATGCATCCTGCAAACCTCAGTCGTATATCAGATAATACGTTTTCAGATTGTAACCTTTTCAAAAAGCCCTGATTGTTTAGCAGTTCTGCTGGCATTTACTTTAACATTTAGTGTGCTAACAGACATCTGTACAATTCGGGATGCAGTCCTTGGGTGTTTTTTCTTATTGCACAATCTCATCTGTGCTTTATGTCCAAAGGTCGAAATATTGGGAGCTGTAAGAGATGTTTTCCATCACAGAAGTTTCTTTTCTTCCTGATCTCAAACAGTAAATTCCAGATAGTTTGGAAATCCCCCTATAACCCTTCTCAGATTGATGGGTAGCAGAAAACATGTTTATATTCTTATAATTATTCCTTCTTGGCGATTTGCTATAAAAACATTATTTCTTTAGACCAGAAACTAACAAACCACCAACACCTATTTGCTTCTTTCCCTTTAAAATCCCAACGATCTGTGTTTTTCTCTGAAGCTTTATTTTTCTTCAATAAACTCCTGCATGGAATCTACTGTGGTTTCTACACTCAGGATGTTTCAATCGTCTAAAACATGGGAAAGCTTGGCTAATTTGAATGATTTGATCCGAAATATCCTAAAAAGCCAGACTAAATGTGAGATTAAATGTGTCATTTAGTCTGGACCTGATGAATGAGACATCGAAAGATTGTTGATGAGAACAACCCGTTGTTTTTCCAATACTAATGGCCAATGCTCTGACCAATGACAGAAAGTTGGTAGGGGAGTGTAAACAAACAGCCTGTTGGTAAAACGGCAAATACATCCTTTTAAAAAGTCTAAACCTTCCAAAACTGACTCCAAAGCGGAGTCAAAAATCGCCAACAGAGCCAGCAGTCCTTCAAACACGACTATGCCAAGAGAGGGCCGCTGCAGACGCGCTGCGGTTAGCCCTGGCTGCCGTGACGATTTAAAGTATAATATTCTCGCCTCAAAAGATCTCAAACCGTTTTATTGAACAACAGCAACAGAAAAGAGAACTTTTAACTTCCAATGGAGTGCATGCTACTGTTCAATAGTTGTTGCCATCTTCCTTGTACTTTCTCCAGCGTCGCGCAGCTTTGTCGTCACGCCTTCAAAACCCCGCCCACTTTGCATTCAGACATTCAAAACACATCTCTGCGTTGTGATTGGCCCGCCAGTTCTAGGGCCTGGGGCATTGATCGAAGCTAGACCAAATTCGCAGGCAAAAATGATTTTGGCCGCTGGCGGGTGGGGATGGTTTACTAGGCTACCTAAAATCATGGATCTGAGACAATTCAATTAATTTTATTTATATAGCACCAATTCACAACACTGTCATCTCAAGGCACAATTCAACCAGGTCATACAGTCATATTGATTGAAAGTTTTCTATCTAAGGAAAACCAATTGATTGCATCAAATCATTGACTCAAAGGCAATCCCTCACACTAAGCATGCTTATAGCGACAGTAGAGAGGAAAAACACCCTTTTAACAAAAAGAAACCTCCAGCAGAACCAGGCTCAGTGTGAGCGGCCATCTGCCGAGGCCGACTGGAGTTCAAGGACTACACTCCACAACAGGCAGATCTGCATCACGACAAGGGTGTTGATGGCAGCAGCACAGCTGATATTTCTCTCTAGGATGGCAGTCAAACAGGAACAGACCAAATGAAGCTACTATGACATTTTCTGTTGGTGCTTTTGATGACAAATCAATAGATAAATTGTTTTGCCTGCAATATATTAGGCTGACTGATAAAATATACTGTAAATGTAAAACCAAGGTGCTGGAATTTCAGCTAGCTGCTGGCTAGCTCAAGCTGTAAGTCACCCATCCTAGCTGAGAGGGAATGAGCTGTGTCCTTAGGCAAGACCCTTCACGCTAATGTGGAGTGGTGGAATAATGGTTAGGGTGTTGTACTTGGAATCCAGAGGTTCTGAGTTTGAGCCCCACTCCCACACTTTCGTTTGTTGACCAAAGACCCTTAACCCCAACCTGAGTGAAGTTGGCCCCCCACCTTCTTCAAATCAGACAAAATTAGTGTCAAACTTTTGTGCTGGTTTGTGCAGCAAAAATTTTTTTTCATTTTTACTGCTTTGGATTTGAAGATATTAATGAAAACGTAAAGGTCAAACGGTCAACCAGCCCCCCCCCCCACCTTCTTCAAATCAGACAAAATTAGTGTCAAACTTTTGTGCTGGTTTGTGCAGCAAAAATTTTCATTTTTACTGCTTTGGATTTGAAGATATTAATGAAAACGTAAAGGTCAAACGGTCAACCAGCCCCCCCCCCCCCCCCCCCCCCACCTTATTCAAATCAGACAAAATTAGTGTCAAACGTTTGTGCTGGTTTGTGCAGCAAAAATTTTCATTTGTGCCGCTATTGTTTTAAAGATAAAAGAAAATTTTCTAGAGGTCATCAAAGGTCAACCAGCCCCCCCACCTTTTTCAAATCAGACAAAATAGGTGTCAATCAACTCAGCTCCATTTGTGCTGGTTTGTGCAGCAAAGATTTTCATTTGTGCTGCTTTGGATTTGAAGATTTGAAGAAAGTGGAGGGGGCTGGTTGACCTTTAATGACCTCTAGAAACGTTTATTTATATCTTTAAAATGACAGCGGCACAAATGAAAATTTTTGCTGCACAAAAAACGCACAAACGTTTGACACTAATTTTGTCTGATTTGAAGAAGGTGGGAGGGCCAACTTCACTCAGGTTTAACACCACACTGCTCCCCGATCACACAATGGCAGCCCACGGCACCTCAAAGGGACGGTACTTGTGACAGTGTAATGACAAAAAAACTAAATAAATGCCGGAAGTACACATTAAGATTCCTTCTATCATTCCCACTTACAGTTTTGTTTTAAACTACTAAGATAATTACAATTTTAGAAGTAAAAACAGGTTTGAGTTATACAGAAATCAAACTTTTGACAACATCCACAATTTCATTTAGTTTTTTATTTATTTAATTATGCATATTGTTGTTGCCCAACAAGCGTTTTTTGGGAAGAAACTCAACAGGGACACAAGTTACATTTCTATCAAGTGCAGCTCGGGCCGATGCAGTGGATTATAAAGTGCAACTGAAATATTAACAAAGAAAACCATAGGACTGAATTGATTTTTTATCATGATGCAATGATCCGATACAGATGACAATGGAAATATATTAATCCTTAACATGCAAAATAATTAAGGAAAGATCAAACATTGCTAGCGATAAATGTTAACAGAAAGTACTGAAATGTACATAAATGTGCTCCAACATAAATGGCAAACTCTCTATACTGTTAGATCTATGCCTATAAAAGATGTCAGCGTTTTCTTGTTTGCAAAAAGTTTCTCCACTGCAATGCATATTCCCAAAATCTCTCACTAAAATACTTGAAACATATTGGTCAAATAATAGAAAAAAGATCAAGGACTAGAAATACAGAGGGAGACCAGATGTTCCCACACAGTCCAGATGCTCCAGACGTTCTCAGCTCAGTGAGGAGGCCAAATAAAACAGGTTTTTAAGCACCGATCAAAGCGCGACATACGTTCTATTGTCGAACAAGCACAGCTGAGTGTAATTGCACTTCTATTAGTGAGGGAATGAACGTGGTTTGAACTGAAACCCAGTTTGCTTCTTTCTTTTGATCAGCTTGGCGTGCTTGAGACAGAAGGTAGAAGAGATTCTGCCTTAAGAAAAGCAGAGGAGAAACAGTCTGCTTGCTAGAAAGAAAACACGAAAATAAGCAGACGGGATTAATTTCAAACTGAAATGTACCTACCAACATAAATAAATCAATGAATTCTGGAATCAACTTTAACAGTCTTAAAGGCACACTATGCAACATTTTTCAGTTAATTAATGTGTTCCATATCGTTTTGGATGATTAAATGATTCATTTCAGGTTGAACAAAGGTATTCTCGGCCGCCCTGGTGGTCTGTGGGGGAAATACCGCACTTGCAATTGCAGGAGCACCGACCCGCACCCACAGGCTCAGAAGTCTCACGAGAGTCGGTCTTGCTTTACGGCGAGAACTGCAACACCCCCCAGTTAAAAGCATTCTCTTTGCTAGCACAGTGGCAATCTTTGTGCAGTTATGCTACGTTCACGCAGCAAAAGCAGCAAAATCGCGTCTGCTGCTTCCTTTTTGCTGCTTGTACCAGTTAGTTCTGACGCGCGGCTGAAGCAGCTTTGCTGATCTGGCTGCAAAAGTGTGTCTGAGGGGCGTTGGGCGGAGCTTCACTATCCTTTCTCTGCCTTGCAGCTATATTTGCTGTGATCAGTGGGAATAAAGTAGTTTTAATATGTTTTTAAGTGAGAAAATACACCTGAAAACGTAATCAGTGCCGTCAGTTCATTCAGATTATTATCCTGCCTTCAATATTTTTTCTGTTGGAGCCGCTCAGACCCCCACATACCAGCGGTGCGCCGACAGAAGGAATCCCTTCATCAGCAGCCTCTGGCCGGGTCGCCTCCTCGCGGTTCACCGCGGCAGCTGGTAGGTGTTTTTCATCTAAATAATCCAAACTGCATATTCTGCCGGCAGATTTCTGCATTTTAAGTTAATTTAGGCGTCAATAAACTGTTTAAGAGGAGTGATCATAGCCTCTGATCATCAGCGTTGTGTCTCTCTCCCTGCGTCAGATGATTAAACGCACCCGACACGCTGTGCCTGCTGCTCAAAACGCGCCGCGGGACCTTTTGCTGCGCCTTGACGCGCGTCAACCATTGACTTTGCATGTAAACTCGCTGCTTCTGTCGCGCCAGCTGCGGTGTGAACTCAGCATTAGTCATTCGTTGCATTCGCCTGTCTGCTAAGCTCAAAACAACCGCGCCTGGCTTGACGGAGAAACCAGGAGAACAGCTGTGCATATTTACGACAGTGCACTTTTACTTTCGCCCTCTGGGGGGAGCCTCGCTGGAAAATCAACACCGGTTGCATAGTGTACCTTTAAAATGTCTTATTTGGTGATCTATAATCAGTTATCTAGCCTCCCTTCATGATAACTTTACTGTACCTCAAAGTGGTTCTAATTAGACTTTAGGTTAGCTGCTAACAGCTAATTATCTTGGTTAAGGTAGAAATAAATTAGCTAACAATGTTCCCAGAGATTTCCCAGCTCAAGGAAAGTATGGAAGAAGAAAACAAGAGTGTAGAAAAATACTTCATTCCCAGACTTTTTTCCCTATTTTCAAAATATTGAGTTCTTTCTTGTGCTCTTCCTTCCCTTTTTCCTTCTAAACTTCATATGCTTGAACACTTGTTCCTCTTTTTCTTTAATATGACACGATAAGCGAGGATGTTTGAGAGATTTCTCACCTGTGAAATCATTACATTACTGGGCTCTAATTACAATGCCCAAATAAGGAATGCCTGAAAATACAATTTTAAAACAAAAAAAAAAGCTCAAAGCCTTAAATAACTAAACTAAAATCTGTGTTTTGGATCATAATTTAAAGTGGATAACAAACATAAATAGAAGGAACAGTCACAAAATAATATTTCCCATATTTGCTGCCATCTCATTGGTATTACAGCTACATAATGAACTACAGCCGACTGTTCAAAGTCTGTCTGCTAATCAAGTTGATAGCAAACTGAAAGCCCATATATTGCTAAATAATGTCTGACTAGTAGCTGCAAGCTTCAAGGTTTTTAAAACATAATGTTGCGTAGAAACATTTATTCAGTTTTTCACCCCAAATAAGAAAGAGAAGTCTCTTTTTTAAAAACATCTGCTACAAAAAAGAGGAGTAAAAAAACAGTTTGACTTTCACCCAGAAATGTAAGCTGGCCATTTGTTCTCTATAATCTGTCTCCATTAGGATTAGGGACCATAATACTGACCTCTTTAGGCCATCATGACTTTAAATCTGAAAACAATAGATTAATTCAGCAGAGCACTTCAAGGTAATAGATTGTCATCCTCTTCTTCCGTCTGAATGTTTCCTCCATCATGGTCGGTGGTCTCAGAGAGCTGCAGATGCAAACATTTACATTACACAGGTGAATTGAAAAAGTACCACTCATATAAACACTATAATTTATCACAGGTCTCCATTCTGTTCATCTGGAAGAGAATCAGAATTTAAGTTTATCTGAAAAATGTAATATTACTCAATACTACTAAAAACAAAACAGATTTTGCAACAGAATTGTCACATGTCAGCTGAAACAGTCATAAGGAAATCTGCCGGCTGACGTTTTCAACCACAAAAAAATGAATAGCATGAAAGAATTTCCAGGAGACGGAAATCGCAAAAATCTTGAGACGTGACGTTAAAACAACAGGATGTTAAAGAGATTGGTTTCTGATGTAGTAAAGAAACTCAGACTGGTTGCATAAACAGGACATAGAATCCTTATTCCTATATCTGTCTTAAAAAACTGCTTTCTTGATCTTAGATTATGTTATAATGTTCTGAGAAACACATTATTAGGGTTATATGACATCAAAATAAATATAAATAAACAACTGTGGGTTTACCAACTCTATATAAGTTTACCTTTTATAGTGAGGAAAATAAGTATTTGAACACCCTGCTATTTTGCAAGCTAAACATGACTGTCAATCTTTCTTGGATGCAAGATCTGACCTCCTGGGGTCTCAATGATCCAAAAAAAGGTGAGAAATCAGCTCAGAACTACACGGGAGGAGCTGGTCAATGATCTGAAAAGTGCTGGGACCATCGTTTCCATGGTTACTGTTAGTAATACACTAAAACGTCGTGGTTTGGTATCATGCATGGCACGGAGGGTTCCCCTGCTGCAACCAGCAAATGTTAAGGCCCGCCTTAAGTTTGCCAATGACCATTTGGATGATCCAGATGAGTCATTGGAGAAAGTCATGTGGTAGACACCTCATCCTCACTCCCAACTCATCACATATTGACGCTTGGCCAAGTTGCGATGGGGATACCCCTCTCGTCGGCAACTGACGCTCAGGTTCATAACAAGTTGTAGCAGGAACTTTCGAAAAAAATTTTTGAAGTAAAAACATAGCAATAACCCATTCCTTACCCTAACTTTAACCACTAAACCTAAAGAAACAATAGTATACGTGTTTTCATGCACTTCTTAAGCTATAAAAGTAACTATGTAGGCTAAACTTGGCATGATATCCTGTCCACAACCAGACATTAACCCTGTGTGAAATACTGATGTGAGGGCTACCTCCTGCGCGTCAGTGTGAGACACATGGGTTTGGCCAAGCGTCAATATGTGATGAGGGATGTTGGGTGTGAGAATATATTGCAACAAATATAACTTTTTGGTCATGTTTCCACTAACCATGTTTGGAGGAAGATAATTGATGAGTACCATCCCAAGAACACCCTCCCTACAGTGAAGCATGGGGGTGGTAGCATCATGCTCTGAGGGTGTTTTTCTGCAAATGTTACAGGACCACTGCACTGTATTAAGGACAGGATGACTGCGGCCATATACTGTATTGTGAGGTTTTGGGGAACAACCTCCTTCCCTCGGTCAGAGCATTGAAGATGAGGCGAAGCTGGATCTTCCAACATGACAATGACCTGAAGCACACAGCCAGGATAACCAAGGAGTGGCTCTGGGAGAAGCATATCAAGGTTCTGCTGTGGTCTAGCCTCCACAACTCTATTGAGTTTAGGTCTCCAGACCTAAACTCAATAGAGAATCTTATGAGGGATCTCAAACTCTGGTTGTCAGCGACAGCCCAGAAACCTGACTGATCTAGAGAAGGTCTGTGTGAAATCCCTCCTGCAGTGGAGGGATTTTGGCCCTCCTGTGCAAACCTGGTGAAAAACTACAGGTGCAGCTGTATCATACAACTAAATAGTTAAAAAATACACTGTGATTTCTGGATTTTTTTTTTTTTTTGTTAGATTATGTCTCTCACAGTGGACATGCACCTATAATGACAAAGTCAGACCCGTCCATGATTTCTAAGTGGGAGAACTTGCTAAATAGCGGGTTTTCTTATACTCATTTTCCTCACAGTATATCGAATCAGAGGCTTCTGTAGGGGCACCACCCTTCTCTATGCAAACAAGGCTCTATTACTAAACTAGAAACTTAGTAATGATGACAAACCTGGAGGTTCTGCTGGGATGGTCCAGGGTCTGTTTCCTGCACTGGGTGTCCCTTATTCCCATCCTCAGAGTCTATGTCCTCCTGTCCATGCAGAGGTGGAGAGGGAGGGGTGTTGTTTGCAGTGGGCTGCAGGGGAACAGCAATGTTCTGCTCCTGCTGAGATTTTACCATGACATGTTTCACTTGTCTCTAGTTATCATAACTTCAGGCTGATGAGGAGGCACCAACTTACTTGTAGGTGATGTGAAGCGGATGCTTGATCACCTGTCTCTTGGATTGGATGCCCTAATTGAAATGGAACTGCAGCATGCTGAGGACATGGAGGACTGACTTTTGGAGGCTGGTTCCTACAGGGTGGAGGTATGGGTGGAGGTGGAGGTAGGGGCCTGGCAGTCGTCTAAATATGCATAAAATAAAATTGAATAAAATCTCTGTATCACAGCGAAGTCTATATATAGTTGCACTGAAATGGTCAAAGATGACCTAAAGTTTCTTAATAGTATTTACAACATATATATTACGACGGAGTATTAGGGCCAGGCTGGAGATTTTTTTTTTCTTCTATTTCAAGAATGCATAGAAAACAGTTTTAATAGTATGAGAATGAAGTCATCATTCAACAACCCGTTTCAGAAAGAAAGCTTCGAGCTCCAACCAGCAAATGATGGCTGACCAGCTCCAGCAAACAGCAACCTGAGTCCACTTTGGCATCCTGCCCAATTTGATGCTGCTGCTAAAAGATTTCCTTATTTGTCAAACCACAGCCAAAGTATAGCTTCACATAATGCTTGACATTCCTCATTTTAGCGAAGAAAGTGCTTCTTGTAGGTGTTGTCATAAAATACTACTTGTTTCTTAAAATTTTAGGACTTTTTTCTCTTATTATTACGACTTTATTACCGTAATTTTACGACTTTATTCTCGTAATTTTAGGACTTTATTCTCATAATATTACAACTTCATTCTCGTAATATTACGACTTTATTCTCATAGTTTTACAACTTTTTTTCAGTAATTTTACGACTTTATTCTAATAGTTTTATGACTTTATTGTAGTAATATTACGACTTTATTTTTGAAATGTATGACTTTAATTCTCATACTTTTACGAATTTATTCTCGTAATTTTACGACTTTATTCTCATAGTTTTACTAATTTATTCTCGTAATTTTACGACTTTATTCTAATAGTATTTAGTAATATTACAACTTTTTTCTTGAAATTTACGACTTTACTTTCATAGTTTTACGAATTTATTCTCGTAATTTTACGACTTTTCTCTCATAGTTTTATGACTTTATTCATGTAATATTACTACTTTATTCTCATAGTTTTACGAATTTATTCTCGTAATTTTACGACTTTATTCTCATAGTTTTACTAATTTATTCTCGTAATTTTACGACTTTATTCTAATAGTATTTAGTAATATTACAACTTTTTTCTTGAAATTTACGACTTTACTTTCATAGTTTTACGAATTTATTCTCGTAATTTTACGACTTTTCTCTCATAGTTTTATGACTTTATTCATGTAATATTACTACTTTATTCTCATAGTTTTACGAATTTATTCTCGTAATTTTACGACTTTTCTCTCATAGTTTTATGACTTTATTCATGTAATATTATTACTTTATTCTCATAGTTTTACAAATTTATTCTCGTAATTTTACGAATTTATTCTCGTAATTTTACGAATTTATTCTCGTAATTTTACGACTTTATTCTCGTAATTTTAGGACTTTGTTCTCGTAATTTTATGGCTTTATTGTCGTAATGTTACGGTTTTATTCTCGAAATAGAAAAAAAAAACTCTAGCCTGGCCCTAAGACTCCATGATAATATTACACTAGCGCTCTGTGATGTGGCTTAAAATTATACACCCTTTTTTCCCCCTACCAAATACAATTAATAGATTTTCTTTCTTCTTAAATTTCTTTATAAAAGGTGATAAATGATATAAATGACTTTCAAAAACTAGCTGTTACTTCAACCATCTCCTCTGGGAGGTGACCTTTGTTTAAAGGCCAATGATGTTTCCCAAACAATGAGAATATGACGTGTTCACAGCTAGTAGAATCTTACAGTGGGTTAGTTTGGCTCGGACAGTTGATGAGCTGATATTACACAGACCTAAAAGAGCACATTAGTGGGAAAAAATGCAATCTTCATAAAAAGAAAATTAAATAATAAAATGGATTAATCAATAAATCGCCGAGCCCTATATAGATAAAAAGTAACCAAGTTAGTCTCACATTATGTGAATAAGCACTACAAAGTAAACTAACGGTAATCAAAGTGGTAATAAGCTATAAGCGCTGCTTAATGTGTTCCCTACTTCCATGGGGTATTTACCTTGCAGAGAAATTTCACCGAGAATACAAAACAGACATCAATCGCATTTTCATAAAACAATCACTTCATCCCTGGAGCTTTATAGACTATTTTAGCTCAGAAAGCTCCAATCCGATGAGATAAAAAGTACAGCGAAGTTAGCAGCGGAGCAGTGAGTCAATGGGTGGGTTTGGAAGAACCGCACACATCTCACCGAAGACTTTTAACAAACAATTTCTTACTCGTTTGTGTTCGTGATAAAAGTGTTTTAATATTAGAATTAAAAAATAATTAAGAAAATGAAAAAGAAATACTCTATACTTACCATCTTTGACGTAAAAGCATACAACCACTTCCTGAGTTCCAAAAAAAAAACAAAAAAAAAAAAACTTCCTGAAATACTTCCGGTTATGTGCTTCAAATAAAAGTACAGCAAACATATCGCAGGTATTAAAAACAATTTTTTTGTTATTCTGTATTTGTTTATTAGTTTTTTATTGTATGAATTTGTCATGCTGTTAAACTGTGTTTATTATTAAGCATGTAAAGAGTGGGAAAATTTTCATCCCTTTCCTAAACGTTCTTAAATGTTTTAATTTGAAAAGAGGACGGAAGCTCGGGACAGCTTCTAATGACGTAATTTCCGGTTGATCGCCTGTTGTAAACACAGCAAACAGCTGGACCCAGCAGCGGCTCCTTGTCAGGTTTTAGTCGGCAGTTGTATCACCTGCTGGAATCAGAACCACCGTATTAATACACATTTAGCGGTGATTTGTCTGAACTGGTGTATCCTTCCGCTAATAGCTAAACTAAGCTAAGCCCTGTTCTCTCTGAAGCCACCTGTGGTCCTCTGCTGTGTGAGTGAACAGAAAGCCTTGCCTTCTCTCTCATGGTGCTTTCTGGTCCATGGGGAACTGCCTATTTTCACAAGGTGGGGATGACGTTTCGCTGCTGAACGAGTCGGAGGGGGGCAGTCTGCCTGGAGAGACCCCGCCGCCCTACCAGGTAAGTAGTCCGAGTGTGAACTTTAGAACAGCCCGGATAACGACGTCACTCCAAAGGTTTAATCACTTGCGTTAAATATATCGAGAATATAAAAATGAGTAAATAGGGAAGACGTTGTCATGTGATAAATTCACTGAAGCCCATTTTTAGCGCGGATAGCGTGACTGGATGGTTGATATCATGGATATGTTCCCTAAAACTTTCCCAAAAGTTATATAACTTTCACTTTCTAAACTTTAGAGAACGTTCCAGATGTGGGATTGATATCATAAATAGTCTCTGTAAATAATCTACTGTATGGTACAATACATCAAACAAACTAATCTTGAGCTTTTTTTTTTTTTTTTTTGATAAAACAAAAGGGAGATAATCTGGGATTAAATAACCCATTTTATTATCTATACATTTATCCAAGTAAAGGCAGGCTCTTAGATCTTAAAGTGTTTTTAATCAATAAAAATGTATTTTTAAAATCCTAGAAACTAATCCCTGATGTGATTTATTTTTCTCTTTGGTGATTTATACACCGCTATCAATAAAACGCTGTACATAACATGTTATTTTGTTACTTTTTCAGTTATAGATGTAAATGCTAATGTGGTGTAATTTAATCAAATCCTATACATCTAAGAAATAATACCACACAAATCAACAAAACTGTAGCTGAATTACCAGGTATGTTTTTGCTCCAGGTCCCTCTTTTTTTCCACTTTGCCTTGAATTCCCAAAAGGCAGCAAAGACATCTTGAATTGTTAAAAACAACAAATATTCTCTTTATGATTAAACTGTTGTTAGAAGAGATCCAATTTTTAAAAGTTCATAGAAATCTGTGGCGGATTATGTTTTTTGGCATCTGCTTCTCCACCCTAAAACAATCTCTGCAGATTCATGATTGTAGTATAGAGCAAGTAGTTTACCCACATCTAAATCCCGCATGACATAATGATCATATGATCAAATCTTTAATTCACAATATCCCATTTTGTGACAGGTTCTTTTTTTTATACATGCAAAACATTTCCAAGGAAGAGAATTATTTCAGAAGTCGATGCAAAAATAGTCCAATATATTCTAAAGTTTAATTGAAAATAATATAAAGAGAGAATGAAATGTATTTTGCTCCATAGATTTTATTTTTGCTTGGAATTGAAACCAGACATTTAGACTCAAACCTTGTTTAGTCACCTTTTCATTTTAAACTTTACTACTCATTTCCGATTTTTGGATAAGCAAATCTTTATTTTACTTTAATTTAAAACCAGAAATTGATGTTGGTCGTAGGCTTCCTTTTGAATAATCCTAAAGATTAGAGTCAGAGTCTCACCTACTGATTTAAATAAAGGCCACATCTTTTTTTATTTTTCCTGAATTAAATAAAAATAAATAATCTAACCTGAAAGTGCTGCATTTATCTGTTGCGTTATGTCCACAAAAATGAGTCCCATATAAAGACTCAAACGTTCTTCATGGAGGATGAAGGCATTACTCCACAAATGACATATAGGACCATTGTTGTATATGGAGTAGAGATGTCCCGATCCAGGTTTTTGCACTTCCGATCCGATACCGATACTGGCCAATACCAGCCTATCTGAGGATGTATTTAAGTTTAAGTTAAAGTATTTAGCCTTAGTTGTAAGACTCATGTTGAAAAGGGTTTTAGTACTCTTGATAACATCTAGCCAGCTGAATTAGGTGAGATTGAATAAAACACAATGATTGGTAACAACAAACTTACCTGTTTATTAAGAGATAAACACAAACTGGACAAAATTATGAATAGCAATCTGAAATTGCACAGTGAACAGTAAAACCGTAAACAGTTAAAGGTGCTATATTACTGTAAGTTTTAATAAAAATGCAAAAAAGACAAGAGTGGAAAATAGTCTATTAACTTAGAATCAGGACTCTACTCTTGAAAAAAGACACTGCTTTAAAAAAATCAGTGCAAATAATAGTTACAAAAAAATGCCTTATACTCCCCAATGTCCTCCACACCTAGTCTCCATTTACACATCGTGCAGGATAAAATAATCCCACACGGCTGACATTTTCCTCGCTATCTTCCAATTCACCTGTTTTAATGGTTAGGCCGGGAGACAGACCCAAAAAGACCTGTGGGTGTTTGGAAGGTATTCTGGACCGGATTCGGGGGACACTGGCGCAAAATAGTGGAATGGATTGTTTCAATCGGCGAAACTGGAAAATACGGACCAGATTTTTATTTTTTTTTTAAACTGGATCGGCATTTTTACATGCTTTGCCGATACGCTTTTTTTTTGCCAATATCGGCGTCCGATCCGATACGTGGATCGGATCGGGACAAGCCTAATATGGAGATAAAAAAGTTAGGAAGTTTAAAAACACTAGCCAAACAGAAGTATGAGCATAGTGTGGTCATGTGATCATGGGTTTCTGGCTGCCAAATGAAGTGCTGCACCTCAGAAAATGGAATCCATCATAGAAAAATAGCAAATGTGTACAAACTTTGAAGAGATATCTGAAGTTATCAATTAAAATGTTAAAAGCTATGCTCAAAGGGAACAGGGATGCCAAATGTCTTACATAACGAGTGGATATGGACCAGAAAAATAAATGCTTTTGATTGGTCATCACAAATGCCCTGGTCCCAATCCCATAGAGACCTTATGAACTCTTAGGAACGGTCATTGGCAAACATGAGGTCAGTGACCTACACATGTAACCAAGTTATTACAGCTCTGTCAGGGCGAATGTGTAAGAAACTTTTTTTTTTTTTATTAATTGATGCAGTTGTTTTTTTTTTTTTTTTAGATAAAAGAATATGTGTACATTATTTATTATTTATTTATCCTCCCTCCATTATTCTGACATTTGACAAGTTGAGATTACTTTGTTAATCCTTACTAATATAAACAGGCAAGATTTAATGTCAGGCAGGGAGAAGAAAAGTTTTTTGTATGGGAACACAACATATAATTTACTTAATGATCATGAAAAAATGATAATATTGTGCAGAGCTAGGATGTAGAAGTGAAGGGTCCTGAAATGAATGTGTAATTGTAGGAGGAGAAAAAAAAGAAGAAAATCCCATCTACTGCTTTATCATCCAGCTTTGTCTGCCAGTGTAATTGTACAGTCAGTGAACAAGCTGTAGTGTCTGGGATATCTTCCCACAGCCATGTTTCAGTAAAACATAAAATACTTCATTCCTGATGTTCCTGTTGTCTCCCAGCCAGTTTTCCATTCTCGTCTGTTTTCATTCGCCTTGGATCTAACATTCCTCATGGGCTCCTCGTTTGTTCTGTCCTACAGTTTCAGACTCTCCTGCTTTAATCTGTTTGGGATTTGTAATCTTCATCCATGGTTTAAATCAGATGCTTCAGAAGGAAAAACACTATTCCCCATTTAGCGTTTTTACATGTTGAATGATTTCTAAAATGCTTCCTCTATGAGCAGTTGATAGTTGAATTTCCTTTGGGATTCTGCTTTTGGAGACTGAGGTTGTCTTTGGGGATTCTTTTGTTCCAGCAGCACACCCCACCAGTGCCGGTCTTCCACCCCACACCAGGGGAGAGTCGCCTGGCCAGCCAGCTCACCGAGGAGGAGCAGATCCGCATCGCTCAGCGTATCGGACTCATCCACCACCTTCCCAAAGGTATCTTCGACCCGGGTTCTGACCCCTCGGAGAAGAAAGTGAAAGAGTAAGTGTTAAGTGGGGAATTTTATTTGAAAAGACCATATTTAAATCACCTAGTGAGATTTTTCACATTTAGTCATAACAACGAAATTCCTGTTGTCCCGTAAATGCCTCAGTGGGTTGTTACATAAAAGTTACTGAACAAAAAGGAGAAAAGGTCATAGGTCGCCATAGTGTGGCGAGTCTGTTCATGCAGAAATCCGCCTTCAGTTTTCCCCTCATTTAACAGGAAGTGGCTCCGCTGGCACTCTAATGCCCCATCTACACTACCCCTCCGAATCCGTGCCAAGTTTGTGCCAAGCTTGGATCAGTTAACCTTGCCGAGCATGGTTCTTACAACCATTTACACATCATGCTAGCACGGTTCCTCTCCTCCTATCTTTGGTTCATGATACTACAGCTCTAAAGGCGGAATTACACAAACAAAAATGGTGGCACCCACAAAATTTAGGAACTTTTGTGCTTGAATAGCCTCCTCCACCCAAATGTCAATGAGAGCCTCAGTCTCTGCATCATCCCAGGTCGCAGCACGCTCTTTAGATGCCACTTATTGTTAAAAGGCTGAGAAGAAGTTTGTGTTGTGAACAGGTGAAGAGATCTGTGAATTACAAACGCGAACATGGTGGGAAACCAGCGACTCAGCTGACTGTAAATAGAAGATGACGCAGTCTGGTCATGCACTCTTTCTTATCAGACAACTGAGCCGTATCTAAACCGCGCCAAGCC